GAAGGGGAAGAGAAGGGGGTGGGAGAAGGAAGGGCAGAGAAAGCCAAAGAGAGGCAGAGAGACCCACATGGAATGGAGGGAGATGGTGGGGCGGGTATACGCAGTGGCGGTGCGGCGAGGAAGTTCGTCTCTTCGGAGACATCTGATAAAATTGGAACGATACAGAGAAGATTAGCATGGCCCCTGCGCAAGGATGACACGCACTAATCGAGAAATGGTCTGAATTTTTTATTTTTATTTTTAATTTGTGTCTTCCTGCCTCGCTCGCTCACTCACTCTTCCTGTCATCGTCTTCTTTTGGTCATCGCTGCTTTTGGCTAACATACATGTGAATTTCCATATTCCATGTTTCTTTTAAGCATCTTCAAATGATGCTTGTAGGTGCATCCTACATTTAAAAAGAATCACTAAACTCATTTGTCTATCTTGATAAAAGATTATAAGATTTTATGTTGGAATTTTATTAACCATGTTGTTGTGTATATTTCCATTTGTATTGTTTTGTGGAACCATAGGTTCAAGATTAAGAAATGATGGAGATGAGTCATGAAGGAGAAGATAGGGCTTTGTAAAAATGGGACATGGCTAGGAGCTTTGGTGTAGCAATAGGATCTCTTGTAGGTCCTTCTACAAATGTTTTTGCTATTCACTATCATATGGATGACACTTGAATCAATGATATGTTGTTACATACATATACATTTATCTCAATAGTTACTTATATGATTATGTAGGAGTAAATAAGTATAGATTAATTTCATAACATCTTCTAGAAAAGCTCTCTAAAGCTTCATAGACTCGGTTTTGACTTCAGATGTATTTATAGGTTAGGAACTTGGCTAACAAGTTAACCACGTGTTGGTAGCTTATGGAATAAGTTAACTCCATATAGTAGTTTGTAGAACAAGCTAACTATGTGGCTCATACATAGATAACTTGCCTTGCAAGTTAAGACATGTGGCTAGCAAAGTCAACACGTTTTGGAGGTCCTATAGGACATCACCACGTAACTCCTAGTTAAGAGTATATATGGAGGCAAGAGTGAAGCCTTGTTGACTCTTATCAATGTTTTTTTTGTCCTTAGTTTTGTTTCAACACTTTCTAGTCTTCTTGTTTTTGGCAGTAGCCATTCTAGTTTAATATTACATCACCTTTTGAGTGACTTTCTAGTTCTCTTCAATGACACAAGAGTATATTCAGGACTTTCTTTTTTCAAGATTCATGTCTTTAACAAATATGCATCAAATAATTTGGATGTATTGAAAGAATCAAGCAACGTCAAATTTTAAACAAATCTATAAAGCATTTCAAAATCCTAAAACATTAATTCATTTATTTTTTTAAATAATATTTGTTTTATTTTTTTAATATAGTTTTATGAATAATTATTAATAATAGAATAATATAAGTTTAAATATGAAAGATATTCCAACAAAAAAGATATCACTATACTTACCAGATTCTCATTTTGGACAAAATTATCCAAAGTGGTCAAGGAAATATGATTCCCTTTTGGACCTAAGTTTTGACCTACACTCTCCTCAGATAGCCTTGCATTCATCAATAAAGATATCTCAGCTCCATTATATTTAGCTCTCATCAGATGTGCCTCAACAAAATATCCTTCAGAACTAAAATTACAAGACTTATGTTGATCAATCTAATCATATAGAAAGAATTTCACAAAAAACCTCTATTAGGTCATTATTATTGTATATGTATTATACTATGTATAAAATTTCAAATAGCACTTAGAAAGAAAATACTCTTCATTATTGCATTTTCGACAATTTATATAAATGTCTAAATTCTCTTTGCCCTTGAATTTGGATAATACAATTTTTGTATCTCTAATAGTTAATGTCATATTGATTGTTATTTTTTTTTGTATTGGTGTAGATAAATTAAAAGATTGCATTTAAAATTCTCTTAGTTCTGTAGTTGAATATATTAGATTCAACACTTTTGTAAATTCTTCTATAATTGAAGAACTTCTTTTTCTTCTTTACTAACAATACTAATTGAATTTGTATCATCTTTACTACCAATACTTATATCTTCTATTTCATTTTGAAAATTAAGATTAACATTAGCCAAAAGATTTTTTTTTATATTTTAAATGTACTAATCTAAATTTCAGTAATTTAGACTTGTCAAAATCCTTTAGAGAGTTTGATCAAGATTGGAAGTCAACTCTAGAAAGTTTCTAAAGAAGTTAAACTTAAACCTAAACCATTAACTAAAAATCTCAATACAATTAACTTTTACTAAATATGTGAATTGAACAAAATCTTGAACGGAGAGAATTATAAGTTAAAATAAAAAAAACCATGCTTTGATTAATATAAAGATGATAAGAGAAAGAAAAAAACAGTATTCAATTAGGTTTTAAAATAACCAATTTAGATAAGACATAAGATTTCTATCAGATTGACAAAAGTACTGAAGAGAAGAAAGATCCTTCTACTTTGGTTTGCTGTATACTTATTTTACTTTTAATTGATTATAATAGCTAGTTTTTTGCTTAAATAGTTTTTGTTTTTTGTTTTTGTTTTTAATTCTATGTTCTAAATTATTCTGTTGTAATTTGAGTGTCTAGTTTTTAATTGGATTGGATATGTCTAACCCATCTTAGATTTTTTTTACTTCAGTCCTACTGGTTATGGTCCAATGCAAAATCAATTGGCTCAACTAAGTGTTAGTCTTTTTTATTAGGTAAATTCTATACTTTAAAAATATTATAACTTATCTTAGGTTCTTTATTGCCAGTTTTTTTTGTTGATTTTTAATATATAAATAAGCATTCAGACTTTTAAATAAAAGCAAGATTTTTCAATGTCAATATATTATATTAGTTCTAAGACAATTAAAATATTGAAAACTATTATTGTAAATATAAATGTTTTCTTTAATTTCAAGAATGAAGATTAACATTAGCCAGAAGACTTTTTTTTCTTCTTATAGCTCTATTGCAAGATCATATGATCGAAGTTTTGGTAACACATTTGTATTCTTTCTTTTTAAATGCATCCTTAAAGCTATCACATTTTTCGAAAAATTCTTTGATACATTTTATATTTAGAGTTTTTAATGGCATCTCATAAACCACTAGTATTGTAATTCTTTTAGGTTTTTTAAAGATACTTTGGCTTTGAAACTTATTACTTCTTATATATATATATATATATATATATATATTTCATTTTTTGAAATTACCAATAATATCACCACGTTAGATAATTCAAACTATGGAAAAATAAGATTTATAGGATTTTGAAGAAAATTAGATAACATTAAGAGATTTTTCATTTTTTGATTCACTCCAATGCCTCCTAGAATTTACAATTTTTTATGTGAAAAATATTATTTAAAATATATATTTTTAAAATCATTTATTTATTCTATAAAATATATTTTTATAAAATGTACATATATTTTTAATTTTAATTTTAATTTTTTTGTTAAAATATTGTTTAATAAAAAACTTTAATGTTATAATATCTAAAAGTATTTAAAGCATAGATGTCTTCATATTATGTTTTGATGTTCACAAGAATTATAAAATAAGATACAAAATTAGGAAGTAGAAAAAGACTTTTTTTTTTGTAACAAGTTAATAGTATCTAGTTACTTGGATATTAATATGGTTAAATTTTATTTTTTTATAGAATTATGTCATCAATTAATGTAGTACCTTTAGTCCTCAAATTTTTTTGGTTAAAAGTACTTTATAATATAATTTAAATAATTATAATGAATATATATATATATATATATATATATATGTATATATTATTCTATTATTACAAGGGCTGATTTTTTATATATAATTTTATTAATCTATAATGTTAGAATATCTTAAAATGTTAACTCAAGATTTTTCAACTTTCTCAAGGAAATTCTTTTTTAGAAAAAAATTTATTTTAGATGGGAAAGTAAATTTTTAATGTGTTCTAGAAGAAAAAAATTGAATGGCTATAGAAATTTAGTTGATGAATAATTTCAAAGTAGTTTTTGTATTTTATCTCTCAATTAAGTTGTAGACTTAAGCAAAATCATATACTTCCATCACATTGAATCACACCCTTCATTCTTATAAAGTTTGCTAATTATTGGTGGATTCGGAATGTATTTGAAATCTTTCTGTAAGATAAATGGGCGATTTTAGATTTATGCAAGGACAATTTAAATAAAGTAATGAATGGATTCAAGAGCATGACACAATTTAAGGTATTTCAACATTAGTGCATTGGCAGATGGCAGCAGTATATTGTGAAGCTAGAGACAAAGGCAAGCATATGTAGTGCCCAACCAACTAAGCTTGTAAATTACAGGTGCAAGATTCTCGGAAGAAAACTAAAAGTGTGTGGGAATATGTGTTGTTGAAGTGAAAGCAAGGTGCAGTGGCAATGATGTGGTGAAGTTGTGAGAGGGAGTTGGTTGGTGGAGGGGGGGAGGGGGGGGGGGGTGTGAGGGAGAGGGGAGAGTTCTAGATATGTAAGAAGGCAAGTATAGAAGGATATGGTTTGGTATTGTACGAGGGAGAGAAGGAGACTGGCACAGACAAGGAGGAGAAAGTGATTTTCCAGTGATATAGAAAAGAAAAGAGAAGAAGGGATGGAGTGGCATGTTTCATGGTTTAGTACATGGATGATGTGATTGTGAAAGTGTAGAAGGTAAGAGAATGGAAAGAAAGGAGGTAGAAGAAAGAAGGGCAAAGAGAGAGAAAGAGACATAGATCCACATGGAATGGAAAGAGATGGTAGAGTGGGAATATGGAGTGGAGGTGTGGCAAGGAAGTTTTATAACATACAAAAGAGTCCCATCTCTTTAATTTGCTGAAGAGGAAAACCATGGCAATTATCTGTGGGTTACCTCACCCCCCTCGTCTTCTGGGCACAGAACTGAGGTGTACTCCTCCTATTGATACCTTTATTATATCAATAGGAGGGTGGCCGGGTACACAGGAGTAGTATCAGGCGGGTACTCTATTGTTGTTGGTCGTCGTCGTCGTCGTCTTCGAGTCCGTTCTGCTGTGGACGAGGGACGCTTTGATCTTCAGAACATCTAGAGCGGCATTAGTCATCGCCGCTGGCACAGTCATTCACGTGAGCTTTGTGGGTTTGGATTTTACGCAGCGGCGTGGGAAGGAGCACAGAGCAACTTAGGGTGAGTCGATAGAAGGGAAGGAACGATGGCTTCCGCTGCCGGATCAGCGGAAGGGGCGCCGATCACCACTTCCGCGGTGTTGATGTCCGCGTCTAAACATATCGCATCTAGGTGCTCCGTGGAAAACAGAGCGTTTCTGGATTGCAAGAAGAACGATCCCAATCCCGAGAAGTGTTTGCAACAGGGCCAGAACGTTACTCGGTGTGTCATCTCTCTGTAAGTGCAATGTCTCTTAAACCCTAATGTTTTGCTCTTAACGAGCGCGTATATTGTTATGCATTAGTCAATGTTGGCGAATCAGTATCAATAGCCAGTGCGCTCGGTAGGGAGTTTGTACTGTAGATATAAATTTCAGTTCCAGTCTGATAGAATTTAAAATTGGCATTTTACATTGTCATTAGAGGGCAATTGTTCTTAGTTTCACATGCGTACTACAGGTTGGTGGAACTTAATAGCAAGTGCCCAAAGGCTATGGAGTCGTACACGAAGTGCATGGACTACTACAGCAATGAGTTTGAGCTTTGCCGGAAGGAGCAGCGGGAATTTGAAGCAAGCTGCCCTCTGTAGGCCATCTGGTGCATTCGTAGGTGTCGTCGGATCTTTCTCTTCGACTGACTCCTTCGGGGATATCATTTATATTGATTCAAAAAACTGGGAGTACTAGGAATCAATCTTGCTTTTCAAACTAAGATGCAGGTGGCCCTTAGTGTTTGGACATTCGTCCTTATCAAATTTGGAAGGTTTATCTCTGCTTCCACCATAGGTGACATCCAATCATTTTATTGGTGGTCATTAGTTTCAATAAGAGTGGACTATTCGTAAGTGCATAATAATGCTGGAATATTGTTACCTGAACAAACATTCTTTGGATTATGCTAGCAATCCTCTCTGCTCCTACTTTCTGTTGCTTTTAGATGTTTGTGCAATTCGCGTATGCAGATGGACAAAGAAAATTTGTTCGCGTAGATCTACAATAGGACAATATCAACAAAGCTCTTTTTCGATTTCATCTTGCAAACTTTAAAATCTCGCTTCATGGAAAATTGTCTTGCTAGACCTCTCCTTTATCTATTTAAGTTTTTCGCTTAAGTGATGTAGAATGAGCTAGTTCTTTTTCCGCAAACTTGCTGGGTTCTCAACTGACCTTTCTGTTTTTCCAAAATTAGATTCGTAGAGCTGATGAACTTGATTACGTCTCCTTCAATCTCTTGATTCCGATTGTACAGCTCTTCGCTCCTCGACTCGGCTCAAAACTCATCTTTTTGCTATTTCTTTGTTATCCCTTAGAGTGCTTGACATCATTGTTTCTGAAAGGAGATCAGGTTTTTGGAGGATATCTAGTGGTGTCTTGCTTCATTCTTTTAGATTCTTTGTGGAGCTATTGAGAGAAATCTTTCGAAGGATGCAATGCATGAGTGTATCAACCTAACTGAAGAATACTGCCTCGCCAAGAGTGAAGTACAGTTCAGCATTTCAAGCTTAAGTACTACGATTTGTAAGCGTGTTCTGAAGTCTTCCCTGAAGCCTACACATTCTTTTCACCTTCCAGCTCCAATTACATCACTCCCTTTTCCTAACTTATGCAGGAATCCAGCATGCTTGTAGTTCACATTAAATTTGGGGTGGGTATAGAATCGTGGAGGCTAATTATATATTTGGAATAGTAGTGAAACATGGAGCATGTTGCAAGGAGTTGCTGGGTGATTTTCTTAGGTCCCAAGTGCCAGATGATTTCGAAGGAGCTGTTGGAGTAGGCTGGAGTGAATCCAGTTCCAGTAGGATTACCAGTTCGTATTACTGGTTAGTACTACTGGCTGAACTGCCAAAGTTGTTTAGCATCATAATGAAATTACTAGTTTATTTGGCAGGTCATCAATAGAATCTAGAAGTCTTGGATCCTGCCATTCATTGGCAATCACAAAAAACTATATCTGTTTCTGATTGCTGAATATGGAATCAATTAATGTATTTTGGAATTAAATTTTTTGTTAAGGGTTTCAAGATTTGAAACATGTATATTACTGAAAGGTATCATAAGGAACATTTTCATTCTAAGTTAACATATATTCATCTATTAAATTCAATTTGGAAAACATGTCTAATTTGGAGGCGTTTTTAGTTTTATTTTATATAAACCAATGTATTGGTTCAAAATAATGTTATTGTTATAAATGTAAATATCATGCATAGTCAAATTAATAATACATTCAAAAGTTTAGATATCATATTTGATTGAATGCTAAAAATAAAAATTATAAGATTTTTTTATTAAGTTTGTATATTATTTTATATATAATTTTTAATATTTTTTTTTGTAAGTTTTATTATTTGTACATAAATTATTTTATTATTTTTATATGGGACACATTTTAAATGTTCTAATGAAATAATGAAAAGAGAAATAATACACATACAAATAATCACTAAGAAATATATTATCAAGGATATGAAATTCAAATAAAGAAAATCTCAATACACTCTTATGTCTCTCAAAAAGACTAAAAAAGTCACTCAAAGATGATAATATATTGAATTAGAATGGCTATTGCTAAAGACAAAAAAACTAAAAAAAATTGAAACAAAACTAAGGACTAAAATGGTATTGACAAGAATAGTGGAGGCTTCAATTTTGCCTCTATATATACTATCTAACTAGGAGCAACATAGTGACATCCTATAGGAGTTGTAATAAGTGTTTAATTTGCAAAACACATCTTTTAACTTGTAAGACAAGTTTCTTATATGTGTGCCATATCATTAACTTGTAATACAAGTTATCCACAAGTGCTATACATAGCTAACTTGTTGGCTAAATTTTTGACCTATCAATCAACTATAAACATGTATATAGTCAAATACATGTTTATACAGCTTCTAAAAAGCTTTATCACAAGATAATATCAAATCTACATATATTTACTTTCTATTTAGCACTTCTTATCTAAGTAAATTTATATGTTTGTGACATTATTTATCTTCCTACCTCCCGGCCCTCTTCTCTTCTTCTTTCTTTCCTTCTTTTCTACAAATAAGTTCCACAATGAGCGGTCATCATATATCGGGGAAGTCCAAAATGTGACAAATTGTGTTTGCCACATATTCTAATCTTTGTTCCGTTTGAAGGTGGTTGATAGGTCTTTTTAGCCATTAATAGTATCTCATATCAAGGCAAAAAGACCACCCTATTATTTCATCATTGTTGAGACCTTTGTATCTCCCCTCAAATAAAATATTTAAAACATTGGCAAGAGTTGTTCATACTTTTAATAAAATCACCAAACATCAAAAGTCTCTTCTAAGGTCATGATGCCAAATGCATTATATCTTTCCATCTATTCAAAGAAGAACATGCTATTCTTGAAGATCTTCATCTCTATTATGTCATCTTAAAAGTTATAACAATCACAATGTTTTGTCCAATAACTAAGCAAACGATAGTTCTTAAGTTGAATCTGCTACTTATTGATTATTCATCTCTTTAGCATTATAAATACATTACAAATAAGAATAAAAAAATAAAATATAATATTTTCTAGATTTTATTTCTTTTATAATAAATTTTTTCTATTTTTCATCATGATTTTAATTGATGTCATCAATGAAAAGCATCAATTTTTTTTGCTATATTTACAAGTTTCTTAGCTAACTATCATGTGTCTAGACTAATATCATATTTGTGCTAATAAATAAGATATTTTAACTTATTTTGGTACCACTTTAAATCTAAAAGTCCTTCCACTTTGAACTCTTGATTATTATCTACTTATATAGGAAGAAGTGGCATTTTTCTTCTTCTTGAAATATTTATTGTCTTATATGGCTCAAAAAGACACATATACAATATAAGATGAATCTTCATAGACTCCAATACATGTAATCTATAAGCAAATGGATTGATTTATTTATAAACAAGAAATGGTCTAAGCTTATAGTAATTCAACTTTTTATAAGGGTAGTTAGTCTTAATATTATAACAAAATAATCATACTTTATTGCCAATGTGGGATTGAGATTGTTCCTTAAGATTGACATCCACAGTGGTCTTTTGTCATTTTTAATTTTTTTTAATTGTGCCTTCATTATTCTATGTAACTCAAATAAACAATTTGCCAAATCTTTTGCCATAGGATTATCAACTTTTCAAAAATTAAAAGTATCAAATTATAGAAGATAACCATAATTAGTAAAAAAAGATATTTTTATATAGAAGATTGTATTATAATATTATATATAAATTTTATCAATAGTAAAAAAGTTGTCCAATCTTCTTATTGATAGTTGATAGTATATCTCAAATATTACTCCAAAACTTGATTTATGCACTTTGTATGTCCATCAAGTTGAGGTTGAAAAGCAAAAAATAGTTTTGTATCCACCTTTAAAATCTTGAAAAAGATTTTTCAAAAACTTTATATAAATTGAGTCTCTTTATCCAATATAATATTCTTAAATAATCTATAATAGCAATAGATGTTTTCAAAAAAAAACCTTAGTTATTTCTTTACTAATGATAGATTTTGTATATGATACAAAATGTGCTATTTTCACAAAATGATCTATTATTACAAATATAAAATCACAAAAATATGAGACTAAAAGATATATGATAAAATCCATAGAAATAAAAGACCATGGTTCTTCAAAAATGTGTAATAGCTAAAAATATCCATAAGATTGATGATGAGGAGTTTTTGATCTTAAACAACTGTTACATGATCATACAAAGTCTTTAACTACCTACGATATTTGAAGCTACTAAAAATATCTTAATATTAGCTTCAAAGTCTTGTTATATTTAAAATATCTAATTATTAAAAATTTATGATGACCTTAAAAAATACATAATCATGCTTTGTTTTCCAAAATATATAATCATTTCTCAAAATAAAATAGATTATTCTTGAATTTGAACCTAAAAATTTCATGAGACTTAAAAGAATTATTTTTAATATCATGAACAAGAAGATCACATGACATATTAGATTGACCTAGCTTGAGAAAGGTTGAATCAAAAATTAATGTTGATTTTATTGCTCAAAGATAAAAATGTTGTGGTTTTAAGAGAATTGTTCTTTATTGATAAAAAATTTCATCTCCTTTCTTTGGATATAAGATAAAAACATCTAGAAATGATGTCTAACAAACCTTGTTATTTTTTGGATCAATAAGTCATCTAAAAATCAAATCTTGATAAAGACATGTTCTAATAGACTTGGCAATGATTCAAAACATATATTGATATAAAATACTTAAGGTTCTTCTGATCGATAAAATAGGGTTTGGATTAGAAGCATCTTTTAAATAATGATACTATTCTTGAAATGAATCTACAATTATAAAAAGCTCTTTGTTTTGAATCTTGTAGTTAATCCTAGGTATTAAAATTTTTTAGAATAGAAAGCTATTGGATGGAGCTTATTATCTACTTCCATTTGTGATAATATCACACCTATAACAAAGTCTGATATATCTATTTCTATAAAGAATACCTTAAAAAAGTCAATATGATACAAGATTGGTATAAAAATAAATAATATCTTTAAGGCTTTAAAAGATGGTTTAGCTTCTTTTTTCTATTCAAATTTTTCTTTATATATCAAATGTATAAGAAGAGCCATAACTTAACAAAAGTTCTTAATGAAAATCTAGTAGTATTTATAAATCAAAAATATATATATATATATATATATATATATATATTATACATTTTTAATTATTTTAAAATCTTCTAATCTATGATAGTTTAGACCTTCTTAAGATCTATTATAAGGCCATCTTATAAAATGATGTATTCTAAAAAGTCAACTTGAATTATGTCAAATATAAACTTTTTTATCTTAGCATATAATCCTACATCTCTAAGTTTTTATAACATACAATGAACATAAAGTTCATATTTATCTATATTCATAGAATAGATTAAAATATTATTTAGATAATAGATAATAAAATCAATAAGAAACTCATGAAAGAAATCATTCATTAGATGTTGAAATATAATTAGTGCATTTATGAATCCAAAAGGCATTACATTACATTTGAAATGCCTATATCTAATTCAAAGACAATCTTTCATTTATTTTTTAAATACATATTGGATTGTATGTTCCTTGTAGATATATTTTTATATAAATTTTTATTTGATTTAATAGATAAAAAAATCTTAAAATCAAAGATAAAAGATACTTATTCTTAATAGTCATCTTATTGAGTCCTCAAATGTCTATATATATTCACAAAGATTTATTTTTTTTCTTCATAAATAAGATAGGAGCTCATATTAGAGATTTAAAATAGTATATGAAGTTTTTAGCCAAATTTTCATCAATATATTTCTTGAGTGCAACTATTTCATTTTGTAACAAATTATAACATTGTTTGAACTTTATCTTAAAGATTTATGGAACATTTATAGAAATAATACTCTAGAAAAATATCTACATATTTTTTTTCTTTCAAAAATATATTGTTAATACTAGTATTGGCATAGAATGCTACTTGAAGTCTTTTTTCTACCAAAAATAAGTACAGCATATACTACAAAAATTTATCCTTCTTTGGCTACATGCATGAAAGTTCTTAAATTTACCAACAAGGATTTTATTATATTAGACTTATGGATTTCTACTCAACTAGTAGGATCCTAGACTAAAATATGGAAAAAACAAGGTTACAAGAAGTACAATTTATTTAAAAGTTATACATCTCTGGCCATATTTATCCTAAAATTGTATCAATCTATATAAGTTTTGATCTTGATAAATAAGCTTTTATAAACTTAGAGGCTATTGCCATGGCTTGATTTGTACCTCTTCTACCAAATCTTTGTTTTTGGCACCTTTCAAAGATTTGATTGTCATATACAATGGCTTGAACAACAAATTGATTTAATAAGCTTACTTTTGGCATTGTCAATAATAAATCTTTGATGTTATCTTTTAATCCATATCAAAATTGATTAATAAAGACTTTGTCATTTCAATCTACATTTTAAGTGAGATTTTAGAATTCTATAGTATATATGATAGCTGAATATGATCTTTATTGTAAAAACACAAGTTTGGTCTCTTCTATCTTTTTTTAATCACTTTCTCTAAAAGTAGCAATAAATACTTCTAAGAATAAATTTAGATCATAGAGAAGATATCAATATTTTTTCATCAAAAGTACAAACCAAGAAAGAAAATTCTCTCAAAGAAGTGTATCTATAAATCCAACTTGAGTAAATCTATCAAAATATTGAGAAAGATGCAATTTTAGATAAAGCTTGATTCATTGTAGAAATCCTTGAAATTTTGATCTTATTCCATTGAGCTTCTCAAGCATATTTATCCTTGCCTCTCTCATACTTGGAATAATAAGACTTTTTGGATTTAGTTGTGAGCTTGATTTACTTATTTTTCTCAATTGCACAACTTTTTGGCATAGACTTTAAACTTTATTATTAATTTCTTCTATAAGCATAAAAATACTACCTTCATGGTTGATGTTAGAAATTCATGAGATTTTTATTCTAAGAATGTTGACAAACTTGTAAAGATCTTCAATAGTTACAAATCTATTGTTTTTTCTCCCAAGAATAGCATCTATAATTTTTTCGTTCATAGAAAATTCAAAAAAATCTAAAAGTCCAATTAAAAGAGGGTAATCTGCAACCTCTAATATCAAATGAAAGTTTTCACTAAGAAAAATAGTCTACTCTTTTTTTAAAAAAACAATGAATGTTTAAAATTTTTAAGTGAAATTAAAGGTAGGTATTCCACAACCTTCAAAATACAACAATAGGAGTGGCATAATCCACTTACTTCTAATACAAAACAAGGACAATAAGTTACCATTCTTGTCAAATTATTAAGAACATAAATTTCAAAAATTTAAAATTTCAATATATTCTTATATCACTCAAAAAGATTAAAAAATCACTTAAAGATGGTAATATATATTGAACTAGAATGGCTTTTGCCAAAGACAAGAAGACTACAAAGTCTTGAAACAAAACTAAGGACTAAAAATGCATTGACAAGAGTGAAAAAAGCTTCATTCTTACATCCATATATACTATCCAATTAGGAGCAACGTGGTAATATTCTATAGGACCTCTAACAAATGTCCAATTTGCAAGACATATATCTTAACTTACAAGACAAGTTTCTTATATATGTACATTATTGTTAACTTATACTACAAATCATCCACACATGCTGCACATGGCTAATTTGTTGGCAAAGTTTTTAACCTATCAATCAACTATAAACATGCATATAAAGTCAAATATATGTCTATAGAACTTTTAAGAAGCTTTGCTACAAGATAATATCAAATCTACCTATATTTACCTTCTATCTAACACTTCTTATTTAGATAAATATATATGTCCATTATACATATTATGTTAATTTTCTATAGAAGAAATTATAAATACTATTAACTCATTAAAGATTATTTGAACAAACACATCAATATGATAATTAAGTAAATTTTTATTAATATAAAATTTGGATGTATGTATATAAATTTAAAAAATTATACAAATAATTGGTATATTTTAATAATAGCTAATATTTATGTTAATTAAATATATTTAATGTAATATAAAATTCCATTTAATGTAAGATTCTTTTTAACATATATGAAAATTTTATTAAATATAAAAATATTCTAAAAATAAGTATCCATATTCAAACAATGCATGAATTTACATAATGTCAAAGAATTTGTGTTGTGGTAGTTGTCTCTTTTATAATGCAAATTAAATATTTCTGGTTGTTTTTTTAATTATTAATAAATACTCGATTTTATATCAATAAACAAACTTTCAAAACAAATTGTAGGGATAAATCTTATTAATATATTTTGACAACTTTAAAAAATCATAGAACTTTCTATTGTTAGTCATTCCAGCAGTCAAAATAGTAAATTTACATAACCTAAAATAAAAAATTCATTTATTGATTTTTATCTAAACTCCTATGATTCAAAGTTTAAAAAACCACGTGACAATCAAACTACTGTGAAATTTCCATGTTCCCATGCACCCTGAGAATTTCATCACCCGTCAAATTTCATTCATAACCCTCAAAGTCATCCTGATAACGAATGAAAACCGTTTACAGCGGCGGGTTCGAGAAAACTGCAATGGCAATTGCGAAGGGAAAAGGAAAAACCGCGCGGCGACGGCGACATCGTTTTGGGTTTGCTTTGCTCGTGTCGCTGCGAGCTGCTAATCTGCAGCCAGTTTCGCATGGTCGTGTCGTCGCTGCGTTTCTGAGATTGTAATGACTAGCGTTCACCTCGCAAGTAGCCTAGTCGCCGGGAAGGTGTCGAGAATTGGGAGCCATGGCGTGGAGGAGGGTCGGAATGTGTCGCACGAAGGGCCGCGGTGCGCGTCGATTGCACCTACAGGCATTGCAAGAGCTCCTGATTTATCTTCTTTTCGAGGGCTGGGGTTGCGTCAATGTGGGTTAATGACGAGGAGGAGTCACGGGCAGTTTGCATTGCGCGTTCAGGCGGCGGTTGGTGTGAAAGAGCGGGTATTGGAAAGGAATGATAAGGAGAAGGGGAGCGTTGTTGTGATTGATAACTATGATAGCTTTACGTACAATCTGTGTCAGTACTTGGGAGACTTGGGATGCAAAATCGAGGTTTACAGGAATGACGAAATTACTGTCGAGGAGATAAGAAAGAAGAAGCCGCGTGGGATTCTGATTTCCCCGGGGCCTGGGACGCCGCAGGACTCAGGAATTTCTCTGGAGATAGTTCGGAAGCTGGGTCCTACTATTCCTTTGTTTGGTGTTTGTATGGGACTTCAATGTATGGGGGAGGCGTTTGGGGGGAAGATCGTTCGTGCACCAAATGGAGTGATGCATGGCAAAACGTCCCCTGTTTTCTATGACGAGGGAGGCGAGCCTGGTGTGCTCGATGGTCTTCCCAGGTGCCTCCTCTTACTCTGCGTGTTGTTTTATGCTTCACTGTCTTTAAAAGGATTCACGTTCTGCGAGAGAATCAGAGATCATGCACCTCCCTTTTACCTTCGAGGTTCGGTTTAATTATCACTGGTTTTTATGTTTCATTTGAGTCAAAGCTATGCTCCTGCTCATATATCCTCGAATCATGTCAAATATTAATGTATTCTCTGTTTCTTCCTTGCTTTCCCTCTTATTCAACAAGAACAATGACACCCACAACTTGCACACACTAAAGACATAAATTTGTAGGGTTTAGACACGGTTCGTATTTTAATTATCTGTTATCGAAACATGCTATAGAATGAGCTATCTTCTGATCTTTACTTAGATGGATGGATGGATTGATGGACAATGTTTAGTGACTATTTCTCATTGGTCGTGCGTTTTTACGGCGTGGCTGTGCTCGGAATTTGAACGTCTTCATAGATTTTCGCATATTATTCCGACACATGTCTCGTGGTTCTGACGGGGACTCTTCTTTCACCTGTCAGTCTAGTAACTATGTTTCTAGTAAGCAACGTAGGCCCTTGCCTCTTGCCCTACGTATGCCGTGTACTTCTTCTAAGAGTTGCCGATTTGGGTGTGTTTATTCAAATAGCCTGTTCATTGTCATTTTCTCGTTTCTCGCAGTCCTTTCACTGCGTGCCGCTATCACAGCCTAGTCATAGAGGAAGCGACGTTTCCAGCAGACCAACTTCAGGCTACAGCATGGACTGAGGACGGGCTTGTGATGGCTGTCCGTCACCGTGTATACAAGCACATTCAAGGAGTACAATTTCATCCTGAGAGCATCCGTACGCAAAATGGAATGCAGATTGTGAGCAATTTTCTGAAGATTCTGGATTGGAAAGAAGCACTAGAGGCAGAAGCAAAAGTTTTGGAGACTGATTGAGTAGGGAGCATCACTGTAATTGTTTTTGTAATGGAAGATTGCCAGGGACAGTAAGGTTTCCTTCTTTAGATTCTTCGGTGTACAATGTATTTCTTTCTGAGTATACACTCAGCCAGGCCTAGAGGTAGCGGCCATGTACTTCTTGGAAAGGCAATGTAGGTGATGAAGGGAATGTGCTTCCAGATGGACCTGCCACTGCAAATGGCTGTTCCAAACTTATCTTAGATGCTGGTGGGTTCAGGTAATCGCCTCAAAAGTATATAGAAGAGTAGGAGGACACTCAGTGATTTTGTTCAAAGTGATCAACCCAAGTGCTACCCAAAGGGTGCAACGCAAAGGTTGTTGTATTGTGTAATTGGTCTTTATTAGAGGAGTTCCAAAAACAATGGCTACGTATTACGGGTAATTTGGCAGAGAAACTTCTTAGGAAAGGTGTACCATTACATTATTGTAGTAGCTAATGATGACAATATTCTTTTCTATTTCTTCCTTCAAACTAAGAATCTGTTGTTCTCCTCTCTGTATACTTCTACCGACAGAGATGTCGTCGTCCTTTTCTGTATATTGTACCTGGTGTAAGACATTTGAAATACTCCCTGTACAATTAAGACGTTTCAAGTTCCTTACGTGTATGGTCAATTGTGAATTTAACACTGTCCTGCTAATCTGACAACCCGTTTAGGTCTTTTAGTCTTCATTTTCCATTTTTTGAAATCAGCATAGGAAATTTTCTGCTCTTTTCTCATAGGTGCTTCTAAAAAGGATACCTTCTCTACTTCGTAGGCAGAAATGTCGGGTCCTACATTCTTGTGAACCACATGCGTGACTTGGTGGAGCTGCGAGGAGCCTTCTGAGCTAAGACCTCTAAAATCGGGCCTATTTGTTACTCTTGGGTTCAACGCAACGCAAAATGAGAGAACTAACGCTGTGCAGGACCAAACGCTAATCACGGTGGGTTTCAAGACTTCGATACCCACGAGACGTCACGCCTCTGTCAGGTCCTCGTTATTTTTAAGCATGTGCACGCATGTGGGGTGTAATGACATTGTATTTCTATTTTGTTTCAAGCTCGTCATAGCTCTTATCACGTTCTTCACTTCCACGCTCACGGAAACTCCACGCCAGCTAATCCCCCGAAAGTCTATCCCAACGCGGAGGAGGAAACCGATGTAAGTAATACTCACTCAATTGCTGATTCAATCTCTGCATTTGTGTGAATTGATTTGAAGAGAATATGGAAACGAACATTTTATTTACGCACCCAAGTAACCAGCCGAGAAAAAGGTGCGAATTGAGAAAAGCCCTGTTTTACTCCTAACATTGCCAGGAATACTTTAAAAACGAATATCGAATGTCCAGCCGATCAGCAACGCCGCACCGTTCGTGATAGTGAGAGAAGAAGTTCAAAATTTCCGGAGAGTAAAAAGGAAATGCCGCTCGGGACGAGAAGTTAACGGGACTCGGAGGAGAGATGGAACACACAAGGGTAAATATTAGGAGGGTTTCCCAAGGATCTACAGAGTAACATGCAAAGGGAGCCACTGGTACAAGTGCCAGCTCGCAACGCAGAGCCAGCGCGAGAGACCAAACAAATCCAGGCCTCACACCCCCTTTTCTATCTCTCAACCAAACTCTGCAGCGCATTTCCCACTTCTCTCCTCTTCGCCGTCTCTCCTGCTTGTCAACAGCGGATTCCCAGCTCGCTGTAGCTCCAACACCGCGGTCGCGGAGCCCACTTCTTTGCTGCTTATCTCAAGGTTAGATCCCTCCCCACATTTGCTTGCTTTTTGTTGTTTTTATCATTTGAAATGCGCGTGTCTTGGTGACTTGGTCGGGATGAAGTTGGCGGACCATCTGAGCTTAGGTTTGGCGGTTATCCTGTGATTACAGTAGAGCTTGCAACCGACTGTGGTTAAATGTGAGGGTTTCAGGTTTCGCGGTCTCATGCGGAGGTAGATCTCCTCCATGTGACACTGAAATCTACTTGGAATGTAGAGTTGTAGCTTTTCTGATTGAAATCGTGATTTTGGCGTTCATTTGGGGTGTAAAGGTTTAAGGCAATGAGATCTGTTGTGAGATAGTTGTTCCTTTACAATGGTCTGCATTCGCCTTGGTTCTTGCCTTTGCGCGGCAATCATCATCATGGGATCGGAACATTGAGATAGGAGTAGGATGCAATTGCATAACACCTATGTAGCTGGGTAGGTTATCTGATTAAACAGGAAAGCCGCTTTCAATAGGGCTGTCTTGCAATGTACTGTGTTGTAAACCGTATACGATAAATCTACATCAGTGATCACACACCTTTACTCGATCTGCCCCTCCATACGCCCACGGGTCAAGAAGAGTGGTCTTTCATGGTTCGCCTCCTCCACTGTATGCTTGAAATACTTACGAAGGGTTGTACTAACATGTTCTTGTTTGAGCAGGGTAATTTTGCAATATGGCCGGAGAGGGTGAGGATGTGCAGCCTTTGGTGTGCGACAATGGATCCGGAATGGTCAAGGTCAGTATTTAAGCGTACATTTGAAATTTCAGGTTTAGTGTTCGGTTTTCCTCACATTGTGATTTATTGACAATGGTATTTAACATGCACAAGTCACTGAAGCGAATCTACACTGCATTCTTAGATTTGTAGTTTGCTACCTTAATGCAGTCCTTCGCGTTAGGCGTCAGTTGTTGTGGAAGATTGATCCAAAAATGGTGCATGTAATGCAGGCCGGTTTCGCGGGAGACGATGCTCCCCGCGCTGTGTTTCCCAGCATCGTCGGACGGCCAAGGCACACTGGTGTGATGGTGGGCATGGGACAGAAGGACGCGTATGTGGGCGACGAGGCCCAGTCGAAGCGGGGCATCCTGACCCTGAAGTACCCCATCGAGCACGGGGTGGTGACGAACTGGGACGACATGGAGAAGATCTGGCACCACACGTTCTACAACGAGCTGCGCGTGGCGCCGGAGGAGCACCCGGTGCTGCTGACGGAGGCGCCGCTGAACCCGAAGGCGAACAGGGAGAAGATGACCCAGATCATGTTCGAGACGTTCAACGTGCCGGCGATGTATGTGGCGATCCAGGCAGTGCTGTCGCTGTACGCGAGTGGGCGAACGACGGGTATCGTGCTGGACAGCGGAGACGGCGTGACGCACACAGTGCCGATCTACGAGGGGTACGCGCTGCCGCATGCGATCCTGCGGTTGGACTTGGCGGGGCGGGACTTGACGGACGCACTGATGAAGATACTGACGGAGCGCGGGTACTCGTTCACGACGACGGCGGAGAGGGAGATCGTTCGGGACATGAAGGAGAAGCTGGCGTACGTGGCGATCGACTTCGAGCAGGAGCTGGACACGGCTCGGAGCAGCTCGTCGCTGGAGAAGAGCTACGAGCTGCCGGATGGGCAGGTGATAACGATCGGGGCGGAGCGATTCAGGTGCGCGGAGGTGCTGTTCAACCCGTCGCTGATCGGGATGGAAGCGGCAGGGATCCACGAGACGACGTACAACTCGATCATGAAGTGCGACGTGGATATCAGGAAGGATCTGTATGGGAACATAGTGCTGTCGGGAGGGTCGACGATGTTCCCGGGCATCGCGGATCGGATGAGCAAGGAGATCACGGCACTGGCACCGTCGAGCATGAAGATCAAAGTGGTGGCACCCCCGGAGAGGAAGTACAGTGTGTGGATCGGAGGGTCCATTCTCGCATCCCTCAGCACGTTCCAACAGATGTGGATTGCGAAAAGCGAGTACGATGAATCTGGTCCATCAATCGTTCACAGGAAGTGTTTCTAGATTGTCCATGTGCACAGTCTACCTTCTTCAGCATACAATTATACCTCTCGCAGTCTGCTACTCTCAGACTGGTTACTTTAAAAAAAAAAATCTTTTTATCGTAGCTAATTAGTTGGAAGAGACTGATGGTATGTTAACTGCAGCATTTTTCTAGAGATTGCTGGACTGGATGATACTACTGTAGGCATTTCCTTGAAGTTGATCCCGCCTTCTCAAAGTTCGCAGCAGCAGTGAGATTCATGCTCTGTAGCTTGTCCACATTAGATTCTCGCACAGCCAATGTTTTTGTGGATGTAGCATCCGCCATGGCGCAAGTATGGCGTTAATATTCATCTGTGAAGGGCCGGGTAGAATGTTGGACTCGGTTATGCTTGTAGACCATATTGCACTGCTGGTTGTGTCCCAACACTTCAGCCTGACCTGTAATATTTGTATATTTGTGACAAGAAAAGGCAATCACATTTTCTTTTAGTGGTTTTGTTGCATTGGCTAGTAGTTATCCTCGGATGCATTCTGTCTTCTTCACCATGTAGTTATCGTAGAAAAACTGTGTCTTTTGTTCGTCATGTGTCGCTTGAAACCAATTTTTTTTCAATCTGCTGGTTGGTGGATGGTGAGTGTTAGTTGATGTTCAAATTACACTATCAACCCATCTTCCTACCTGGTCTTACAATCATTGAATCATGTCAGATGGTTGTTTCTGTTGACTCTGCCCATGACAACGACAGAGATGATCTATGCCGTTGTAGTCGTGAACATTGCTCCAAGCTTTGTCAGCTTAGTTCATCACCAAACGCCTGATAATGAATTCCCATACCAACGAAGTGTTGAATAGACGAATTTAAGAATGATTCTGAGACTAGCTTCTCTACAACTTCAGCCTCCAGTTTGGGAACCATGGAATACAAGTAAACAGCCTTGATATCCTCGCTAGTGAGCAAAGCTTCATCAGAGGAACCGAAATCAACCCCAACTTCTTTGGACCAACTACTTCCACGCTTCCGTTCTCTCAAGCAGAACGAAATCAAACTACTACTTAGCTGAGCACGGAGACATGGTGTTTGTTTTGGTCCATGGCCTCTTCATGGCCAAACAATCTAAGGATAGCCTGTTAAAACATTTGGCTCTCACCAAGTCTGTGTTTAATGGATTGATCATGTTGATGAAGGAATTAAATGATGGGGAACTTCAGGTGGCCACAAACTTACTACACTTGTAAATACCATACAAAATTTCTTTCGGATTTTTTCGGAATTAGACTCCAAACAAACATTCATAAAATAATCAGTTCAAACAGAATCACCTATTTATCCCTTTTTCCAAATTCTTGTAAGGTATAATTTGCACAAAAAATGTAAATATAAATATAACTCTTTAAAGTGTAATGAATAAAATAAAGTCTAATATTCTAAAAACAAACTTTGTCCAAGTTTTTGATGTACTCTAATGGTGTTTCTTTTCAACACCATCTTAGGCATAGGCAATTGATATAACAAAAGTTTTAAAGAAAAACATTATTTACATATATAGAATCTTGTTAGTATTACTATAATTTTTGTTACTACCAACACAAGCTACTCTAAATTGCATACAACAATGTATTGTATGGAACATTGCTAATGCACACGACAATAGATAAAGTATACATTCTTCATGGATGCATATTTAAGTGTTCTATAAAGTGCATTATGGTGTGCAACCTAAGTATAGAGCAGCTTGTGGTGGCATTAATAAAAATATATTGGTATGCCATGGATGGCAAGTTGTGGCGGTAGTAATAAAAACTATAGTAGTATTATCTGCACCATATATATATATATATATATATAGATAGATAGATAGATATAGTGTATAGATTATTGAATAATTTTTTTATTATTACTATTACATCTTATTTTAATACCTTTAAAAGTATGCATTAGAAGCTTAAAATATTATTTTAAGTCATAAAATTATATGATAATAATACTAACATCTTCTTTAATAGAAATAAGAAACTTCATATCTAACATTATAAGCATTCTAAATAAACTTTAAATCACATTTTTAGGTGCAAGGCCACCACAATTAATCTAAATTTATTAATCTATAAGAAACTAGATGAAATATAAATATCTAACAAATAAGTTACAAGATCATTCATATTTTAGATAAAAGAACACAATTAAAAATAAATAAAAATAAATGTGATTCTTTATATATGAAAGAAATTGCTAACAAACTATAAATTTATAATATTCTATTTTACTTTCTTTTACTATATTTTCAATTATAGATTTCAAATCTAATAAAATATCATAATATTATAAAACAATTCTTTGTCATTGTTCAATGCTTTCCATTTATCTTAGTTATAATTTTTATTACTTAAATCTTGTTCAATGGAAAATTATATAAAATAATTTTGTAAAAGGAGTTTCTATAGCTACATGGCACCTCCAAGACCACCTCTTAATTTAATAAAAAATCTCCCTCTCTCTCTCTCTCTCTCTCTCTCTCTCTCTCTGTCTATATATATATATATATATATATATATATATAATTTTAATTTTTTAAATCTATCCAACTTATTTCTATATATTTTTACTTATTTATTTTTAATTTTATTTACTTAAATAAATTTATTATCTATAGTACAATTTTCTGATAGAGAATTATTATATTTATATATTTAATGTAAAGTTATATCTTTGCATTGTAATCAAATGTCATGGAAAATAAAATTCTTCTTTTATACATTGAAATTGAATTATTTTTTCTGAACTTATATTTTTATAAAATCAGTTGTATATTCTAAAAATTAAATTCATAAATTCTTATATTTAAAAAAATAATAATAAATGTATACACATATTTTACATGCATATACATTTCTAATTTGGATGTCAGTAAAAAATACACTTTATTACTTCAATAAATATTATCATAGCCATAGAATCTTATTATTATTATTATTATTATTTGTTTCACATCATCTATAAGTAATGTAATCTCATTAACAAAAATCGTAATTCTTACTTAGTTTTGTATCAAAAATATCAATTACATCAGATTTTAATATAAATTTTTAACACAATTATTTTAGGTCTTTAATAATATTAATATTACAATATAAAATTGCATTATAATATTAAAATTAGATGAAACAAATTCTATTTGTATAAAATTATATACCTTGAACATAATTAATAAGCACATATATTTATTCTCTTAATCACATAAATATATGTAAACAATTAATATAAATTAATTAATCAACTACTATGTACGAAATATTGTTGTTATTTATTAAACAAACATTTATAACTTTCAAAATTAATGCTAAAATGAAATATATATCTATATATATATATATATATATATACATACATACATTTAAACAAAAAAATATATATGTTAGTATTGGTGTTGATAGTTATTTCCAATGAACATAATCTATTTTTTATTAACAAATGAGTTGATGCATGCTGGGGATTTGTAATGAATGTTGTTTTGAAAGACTCTACTAATTGACAAGTATGTGACTACAAAAGGCCACAAGACTCTCTCTGCACTATAACTATAAGGCTCATATTTTTTGTCCATGTAGCTTGTATATATATATATATATATATATATGTATATTTAAATCAAAATATTTTTATTCAAAAACAAAATACAATAAAAAACCAAAAAATATTTTAAAAATAAATAAAAAATTATTAATACTTTTATGAAGCTATTATTCAAATTTATTTTTAATTTCTAATTTAAGATTTATTATTTTTTCTTAAATTTATTAAACTTTGGAATTTATTTTTAAAATAAATAACAATAAAATAATTTATAGTGTTTTTATTGATAAGTAAAATTAAGAGCTAAATTTGGATCATTATTACAAAGTTATAATACTTAAATATTTATTGAGATATATTTAAATTTAATTAATATTTTTTATTAAGTTATATATATATATATATACACATATTATGAAATTATTTAAAAGAAGTTAGTAGACTTTTAAATATTTTTTACCATGTTTTAATTCTAGTACAATGTATTTAAATTATCTTATTAAGTTATGGAAAAGAAGTTAGTAGGTTATTAAATGTTTTGTTAGATTGGTTGTAAAGGTTTTATGATAATCTTGTATGATAAGGTTGTTTAGCATAGTTTATTTTGCTTAATTAAAAAAAATTACATCTTGTTACATTTAAATTTAAAAAATACATACTATACACATATCTGTATTTAGATTGCTTTTACAATTTTTATCTTTTTGTTTTTTGCATATTTCAAAGAAAGCCCAGCATGTGTATAATAATTTGTATAAACCTTAGAAATTAATAATATTTAAGTAAATAATACTTATTTATAAATAAATTACTGTTTGGTTTTTAATACAAGAATTTAAAAGAACCAATTGTTTATTCCAAAGTAATAGTAGCACATTAATAAAAATCCTTCAAAAATGAAACTAAACAAACCAATGCATCTCAAATGAAAAGGAGAAGAATGATCTTACATAGACAACCACAAGGAGGGACATGACAACTTAATTAGACTATGGGTTTAGGAACATCAACCATTCCCTACTACCAAAAAAGCTTACATGATTTTAAATAACACAATATTCCTTGTGACTTTTGTGCATTATTGAGGATATCCATCTATCTAGATTTTGGACAATGTTTTACTGCCCAAATTTCAATAAGAACCATTCACATATTTTGAAACACATTTGATACACTCTACATTCATGTCTAGAGTATAGGGACTTGGGTTTAAGATTAGGGTTTCAGATTAGGGCTTGCAGGGTTACAGTTAAAAGTTAGGATTAAAGATTTAGATGGAGTCTTGGTTCAGAGAGAAAAAAGGATTTGGGGTAAAGTTTTTATGAAAGAGAATCATCGCCCAAACAAGTAGCGGGACTGCTGAATGCCTTTTGCAATGAATGAAAATTTATCAACGTCCGTCAATATGTACAAGACCATCACATAATGGCCCCCCTGACCACAATTTGAAAAACACACACTTCCTGCCTGGAACCAGTAATACAAGTCATTGTAGGGGAGAGAGAGAGAGGGAGAGAGAGCTGTAGCTGCGTATAATAAGGGTCTCGCAGATTCAGTGCTACGTCGTATGGATACACCGTATCACTTCTGGTGTACAGGTTACTAAATACTACTCGACACGGGGCGGGCCGATCTGCGGAACGCGCCGGGGCCATGTCCCAGGGCCCTAGGCCCGCCATATTTCTCTCGTCCACCCGGGCCTACGCAAACTTTCCCTTCTCACTTTCCCAGCTCACGCTCTCTGTTCAACGCACAACAACGCGTAACCGAGACGGGTTCGGAGCACAAAGTCACCCAGCCCGGCCCGACCCGTGCCCGTCTGGCGCCTATCTCTCTCCGCCTCTGGGCCCGTTTCGCTCCTGTCCTTGTGTGCTCTGTCTGGCCCTTCACCGCGCTTCATTGCTTCTTCGACCGAGAGCCTCTTAGCTCCGTCTTGTTCACCACTGCCGCGGCACTCCGACCCCTTGCATACTCTCTTCTGCGGTGCCTGCTTCTCCCCATCTCCTGCATCGGTGCCCTGTTGTGTTTTTTTTTAAAGGTCAGTCCCTCTATCACGTCAGTGTTTCGCATTTCCGTGAAGTGCTCAGGGTTTTTTTTGCTGCGAACTGTCGGTGGAGATGTGCTTTTTGTCGTGTTTGATGTGTGTGCGGTGCAGCGATGGTGGGTTTCTTGGAGGAGGAGGGAGAGTCTTATTTTAGTCTTGTTGCCCGGTGTGCTCGGGGCGCGAATGTGGGTTTATGGTAGCGCACAGGTCTGCGTTTGCGATATGTGTGTAGAACCCTGTGCCGAGCGATCATCATAATAGTAGTTTCTCGTTTCGGAGGGGCTGGGCTTGTCAAGTGGAACGCAGAGTCGTAGTTTTGAGAGTTCCAGACGCGCATCGCGCAGCTGTAGTGAGATGTAGCTTCTCGGTGTGTTTAGTCAAGGTTTCGCTTTTCCGATCTCGGATCATGTTTACGTCCGTCCTTTAAGCTGGATCTCTTGTTCTTTACAGAACTTGTTCATCGCCCTGACTAAGTTGCTCCAGTGTTGGTCTGAAGACGACAAGCCTCTTTCTTTCTTGAATAGTAAGAAGAGGAATTTAATCTGAAGGCTTGTTTTGTACAGTAGTTGGTCGTTTATTCTTTGATGTTTAACTTAGCGTTTCGTTGTACTTCTACTAATGTACTCTTTAGCTTGGTCCGAGGCTATTATTTAATGAGTCATGCCCTGAAGTCGGGAACAGCGGGTTGCACCTACAATCATATGGATATGAGGATTCGGGTCGAGTATTAACTTGTAGTCCTTTGTTCATTGTTTTTGATTGCGGGGTTTAGCTGGTGCAACTGCCTGAATAGCACGCACTGCTTTCCCTGCGTTCGAATCGTCATCAACATTACTATTGTGTAATCCACATGGCTACAGCTGCTGTAAGGTTCTGCGTCAAGGGCGTTCTTCAAGAAATAACCTATGTCTTCCTTGAAATTAAATATTGGTGGTTGTTGTGCAGGTCCGTATTAAATAATGGCAGGAGAAGGTGAGGATGTTCAGCCTTTGGTGTGCGACAATGGATCTGGAATGGTCAAGGTATGCTCTGTCCGACGCATTGTACTCAATCACTCATCCTTCCTGGTCTGTCTTAAGAGAGGCCCTATTTCACTGCTCTTAAATAAGTTGAAGTCGCTATGAAAATTGATGTCTAAGCAGTTTGTCCCTTGAAAGCTACTAATTTTTGTAACGATTCACTCCAATCTCAAAAATCGTAAGACCATAGCAGAGCTGTTGTAGTATCAAATCTCCACAACCGTCTTCTGTGTCTAGGTCATGTTGGACCTGTGTTTAGGCCAATCAACATGTAGGAGTAATATGGTGCATGTAATGCAGGCCGGTTTCGCGGGAGATGATGCTCCCCGCGCTGTGTTTCCCAGCATCGTCGGACGGCCAAGGCACACTGGTGTGATGGTGGGCATGGGACAGAAGGACGCGTATGTGGGCGACGAGGCCCAGTCGAAGCGGGGCATCCTGACCCTGAAGTACCCCATCGAGCACGGGGTGGTGACGAACTGGGACGACATGGAGAAGATCTGGCACCACACGTTCTACAACGAGCTGCGCGTGGCGCCGGAGGAGCACCCGGTGCTGCTGACGGAGGCGCCGCTGAACCCGAAGGCGAACAGGGAGAAGATGACCCAGATCATGTTCGAGACGTTCAACGTGCCGGCGATGTATGTGGCGATCCAGGCAGTGCTGTCGCTGTACGCGAGTGGGCGAACGACGGGTATCGTGCTGGACAGCGGAGACGGCGTGACGCACACAGTGCCGATCTACGAGGGGTACGCGCTGCCGCATGCGATCCTGCGGTTGGACTTGGCGGGGCGGGACTTGACGGACGCACTGATGAAGATACTGACGGAGCGCGGGTACTCGTTCACGACGACGGCGGAGAGGGAGATCGTTCGGGACATGAAGGAGAAGCTGGCGTACGTGGCGATCGACTTCGAGCAGGAGCTGGACACGGCTCGGAGCAGCTCGTCGCTGGAGAAGAGCTACGAGCTGCCGGATGGGCAGGTGATAACGATCGGGGCGGAGCGATTCAGGTGCGCGGAGGTGCTGTTCAACCCGTCGCTGATCGGGATGGAAGCGGCAGGGATCCACGAGACGACGTACAACTCGATCATGAAGTGCGACGTGGATATCAGGAAGGATCTGTATGGGAACATAGTGCTGTCGGGAGGGTCGACGATGTTCCCGGGCATCGCGGATCGGATGAGCAAGGAGATCACGGCACTGGCACCGTCGAGCATGAAGATCAAAGTGGTGGCACCCCCGGAGAGGAAGTACAGTGTGTGGATCGGAGGGTCCATTCTCGCATCCCTCAGCACGTTCCAACAGATGTGGATTGCGAAAAGCGAGTACGATGAATCTGGTCCATCAATCGTTCACAGGAAGTGTTTCTAGATTGTCCATGTGCACTACTAAACATTTTTCAGCACACTCCCTTCCCCGGGATTGAGCTCTTGCTGTGTAGAACTCTCGTTGCAAGTATCAGTGATTGCAGACTTTGACTGGTGAGCACAGATTCAACAGAGGTTTATTTCGCAGATGACTATGGTTTGTAAAAATAGCAGATATCTGGGCTCAATTCTAACGGCTGGTATATGTCAGTACCTATAAACTTAACTGTTTGTAGCTCTAGATCGGTGTGGTAAAGTCCGGTACCAATTCTTGTCCCTTTTCGTATTAAATAAAGGGTATTTTATTTCATATATCGTCTTTTCCTTTTGTCATCACATCTCTATCCTGTGCATATCATGGTTGTATTCTCAGTCGTAATGGTCTTTCAAGTGGAATGATGGCTTTGATGATGTGCACCTGGTTGTGTCTCTGGGCGTCATGGGCTTCACATGAGCTGCGGTTACAGATCACGTCCAGCCTCACACAATTAACTAGGCATGCTTTCCATTTCCTTCTGACGTAAATGACAGGCTCTGACAACAATGCCTGGCACTTCCTGACGTGGGACCCGTCGATTGGTGCCGAAGTCGAGCAAAATTCTAACCTCCACAACTGGTATCGTGAATATTCTAGCCTCTTCCTGAGAACAGTGCCGGTCGATCTCGAATTACCTCGTAATAGTCGTCAGGCATGTATGTATGTTTAAAAATACTCCATGCGGCTAAATTATTTTTTAAAATTTATCTTTGGATTTGAAATGAATTTCTACCTTTTTTTACTTTAAGTTACGAGCTGCGATTCCAACTAATGAAGTTTTACATACTAATCAGAAGAATGTCGTTTTTTGAAATTAACAGGTTAAGTGTTTTGAAGAATTAAAGTATGATGATTCGTCTTTTTTATATCAAATGAGTTTTGAATGATTCGTCGTTGCATTTTTTAAATCTTGGAATGAATTGCGTGTATGTGACGTGTATGGAAAGATACAAATCTCATGTAGTCGAGTACAAGACAATTACACCTCTTATGTTTATGGTTCATTTGTACATAGTCTACGTTAGCTTAAGGTCATCGTGTGTGAGTATAGTATATCTCATTACCTAATTTGAAGTCCAGTAAATGTTAGTTATGTTACCATCGACCAGTTATCACCGATGTTGCTGAGAAGCAATGTGAATCTTAGGAAACGAGTGATATTTGAACTGGATATTAATTCATTCGTAATCTATAAACAGACATGCTCTACTAGCGTTAAAACATAAGCTACAGCACAAAATGATCTAAAAAAATGTCATCAATCATAAGCTGTGTATAATACATCCCATGAATATCAACAGTATGAGTTTGGGTGTTTGTGCACACGTAAAAACGAACCCTCGAATCGAAATGTGTATTACTGAATTCACATGCAAATGAATTGTTTGGATCATTTACTGATTAGGTCTGTACTCTATTAATGAAACATATAATAGATTTAAGACTGTCCAGTCAGTTTTGAATTAAGCCTTGGGATTTGTGGTCTCTTCCTCTTCGGCCACTAAAAGTTTAATTCACATTGATGTGAAAGAAAAAGTCACAACTCAGCCTTCGCTGTGTTAGAAAAGCTGCACGTGTGAGGACTTCTCAGGCAGCCTTTCCTTTTTCAGTTGAGTGTCGAAGTAGGAGCACACGTCGTCGGTAACCGGCTACAGGAGGTGTACACTGTCCCTTTACCGGATGTGGGAAGTCACCCTATCCTGAGTATGGCTCACACCCAACGTTGCTACTCCATCGCACAGACAGTTCCACATGATAGACTGCTCCGCGAGAAGCGTCACTCTCGTGCGGTCTCACGGCTTCTGTTGCGGCCGATTCAGTGCAGGGAGTCGTTTTCGAGCTTGCGAAGTGGCTCTCTTGTCATTCCCCTGCTTCTTCCGGCGGCCATTTTGATGCAGAATTGCGAATTCTGCAGAATATGTTGAGAACTCGTCTTGGGGGTTTTCGGATGAGGAGCTAAAACCCTAGAGGGACGGACAATTCTGTGGAGCTTGCTTGTAATCCTGCAGTACAATAGAATAATAGAGCGACATGTCGACGCTTTCGACTCATGCTCGCGTGTCGTCACTGTCGTCAGTGTCGACAGCGTCGAATGTGGTGGCAAATGTGGCTGTGAGGCCGTGTATGATAGTATCTCTTCTGCCGGTTGCGAGAGGGTTGTGCTCTAGGAAGGGGTTGATGTCGCGTGGACCTCTCCGAAGACATTCTTGTATGAAGAGTGTTTCAGTAATGCCGAGAGCTTCTCTCGGTCAACTGCCTGACCCTGAACAGGTGGACTTGTACATTAATGCGTTGTCCCAGACGCCGGACGCCCTGCAGGGATTGCTTTCGCGGACCGAGGGGCTCTTTTTCACATTGGCGGATGTTGCTGTGGCGACTGATCCCAGCCAGGTCACCGACGCTGTAGTGCAGAAGCAGGACGGAGGCTGGCTTGGAGGTGTCTCGAATTCTCTTGAGATAGCTCTTACCGTAAGCTCTTTTTATTTTTATTTTTATATATTTTTGTTTCTTTTTTGAACTGTGAATTGTGTATATTGTTTTCCTCTGAAATTTTCTTTCAGAATCTAGGTGGTAAAACATTCTGATACTTATGCTTATTGCACGGTTTATCTAATTTACTAAGATTTAGTGTGAATGTGATGATATAATTTTACTAAAATTTAAGATTTTTCTAAAATTTAATTGCAGCTAGTGTTATCTTTCGAGTCGATGCTAAAACATTCCTGTTGACACGATGATCATGAAAGTTAGATGTGGCTTAATAACAAATGCAGGAATTAATGAATTTTATTTATTTATTTATTTTTGCAGTTTTTGAAGGATACCATTGCTAAGCTAGGCATACCTTATTCGTATGGTTTCGCAATTATTCTTTTAACTATTTTAGTGAAGGCAGCTACTTATCCTCTTACAAAAAAGCAGGTTTGTTGTTCTACTGATTTTCTTATTTTGTGCTTTCTTTCTTTCACTTTTTGCGTACAAATCATTTTTGTGATATACTAATTTATTGTGTAAAACTAAAAGAATTACTATATTTTTCAGCTAAATATCTGTCGATGTCCTGTATTTACTCATAAGTTTTATGGGTTTAAGATAGTACCCAGACAGGACTGAGTTCCATTGGTAGGTCAGTACTCCTGTTAGATTAGGGAGGCTTCTATTGTTGTATATCTAATTGAAAGTGGTTATGTTTAACAGGTAGAATCAACTTTAGCTATGCAAAACTTACAACCTAAGATAAAAGCTATTCAGACTCGCTATCAGGGGGATCAAGAGCGCATTCAATTAGAGACTGCAAGATTGTATAAGCAGGCTGGAGTCAACCCTCTCGCAGGTGCAATTTTGTCGAAGTCCTCGAAGCATTAATGTTAAGAATGCTTGCAGATCACTTTCCGGTTTTTGACGGACACAAAATACAGTCGAAGGGACTAATACTCAATAACTTGGTTCTGTATGGTAGCTCATAAGGGTTGTGGTTTATGATTTTACAGGGTGTCTGCCTACTCTCGCAACCCTACCAGTATGGATTGGATTGTATCGTGCTCTATCAAATGTTGCTAATGAGGTATTGCATCATGAACTGGAGTGCTTGAAACAGTTGTCCTTGTGCGGCATTTTGTTCCACCTTAGTTTATTGTGAAACATAGGCGTCATTAGACAATCCACATTTAGAGTAATACAGGAAGGTCTTACCATATATTCATTTCAAAGAGGTTCAACAGACATCGTAATGCAAAGTTCTGTACATTTTCTCTTGACTTCAACGGGAGAATATCTATTCTTAAATGAGATATTTTCTGTGGTACTGGTATTCAAGTATGAATGTATGTAACTATGATTTACTTATGCAGTTCTGGCTTTGCAGGGGCTCTTGACTGAGGGGTTCTTCTGGATTCCATCCTTGGCAGGCCCTACAACGATTGCTGCTCGTTCCAGTGGGAGTGGCATTTCGTGGCTATTTCCCTTTGTGGTTAGTTAGTCCCTTCAGATGCTTGTCTTCGTTATTTTTTTTCCATATCAAATGTAATGATGCTGGTCATACAGTAACATATAGTGAATTTGTTGATCAAAATGGTTGTCCATGGAAGCTTAAGGCCTCTTACTTTTAAATCAGTCCTTGCTAAAATCTTCACTCATCCTGGTTCTTGACTTTGATTAGCTGTGAGATACGTCTGTCAGCAGGTATAATTAACTTTGAGGCTTCTCTTTGTATTGATGTGCTTATGTATTGATCTTGATTGGTGGGAAGGACGGTGCTCCTTCTTTGGGGTGGGCCGACACAATCGCTTATTTAGTGCTGCCTGTACTCCTCATCGGGTCGCAATATGTCTCCATGCAGATAATGCAACCACCAACGGTATGCTCGTAAATATCCTCTGACAGTTTACTGAGTATTTGACTATTTCCGCAACATCTTGTATTTTCAGCAAGCGCACCCGATAAAGGAAATTGCTACAATTCTCAAATAGCTATAATATGGAAAGTGTAGCCTGTGCACTTGTTTTGGTGAGATCGTGCTAGTGGAGTAATATCGAATAATTGTCGTTTGGATTGCAGACTAATGATCCAGCTCAAAATCAATCTCAGTTGATTTTAAAGTTTTTACCTCTTATGATTGGTTACTTTTCTTTGTCCGTACCCTCAGGGCTGAGCCTTTACTGGTGAGATTCCTCAAATGATTTTTATTCTCTTTCAATCCTGTTAGTTTCTTTTTGAAGGGTTGAACAAACTAAACTTCTATTCGCAAATGAATGTCGAATTTGTGCTCAGTGTTACAATTAAGAAAAAGTGGTGCCACCATTGCACGGCTTTTTGAGTACATTTTCACTTCATTATTAATGCTTATTTTTGTCTATGACAAGGTTGACCAACAATGTGTTAAGCACGGCTCAACAAGTGTACTTGCGGCAATTGGGTGGTGCTCAACCAATAGTAGACAAGGAAGGTTCAGGTATCATTAGTGCTGGTCAGGCTAAGCGGACCCCCCTTCCACCTTCAGCTTCTACTTCTGCTACTGTCACTGCTGCCCCCACGAGTTCAGCAAAGGACAACCGCGGTTCAAGGTAAATCATACACACTTCTCTCTGTGCCCTCAGCTTTTGGCTTCATATTTGGTGAGTGTACTCATCTTTATGGTTTATCCATTTTACCCCTTTGGTATTAGGTTCAAGCAGTTGAAGGAAGAAGATGCCAAAAAGAAAGGGAGTCGTAGGAAATCAGCTGAGGAAGCATCAAAAGCTGCTGCTGCCAAGGGCGCTGAAGAGCGAGATAACCTGTTGAGGGCACAATTAGCTCAGGACGCGCAGAAGTCAACTGATGCATCCGAGGAAACTAGTGACGAAGAGCAATATCAGAATGAAGAGAAGGAGGACTCTGATACTTCAAAGGTATAGTTGCTAAATCTACGATTTAAATGACGATTCCAACTTGAATCAGTCGAATAGTGGATTTTAGCAACCTGCGAGTAAGATTAATCTTTGCTGGGATGCTTATTCCAATGTGATGCTCATCCATCTTTTGAGATTATTTGTTTACCTCACCTATGAACTCAGTAAGTTCAACTTCGCTCTGGTGATGATACGCGAGGGATGTTCTTCTGCGTGACCTATTCTTTTGACTGCAGTTAGCATGTTGATTGCAGGAAGAAGCTTTAGCTACAAATGGAGCAGTAGGAAATTCATCGGCGAAAATAAAGGGGAGATCGAAAAGAAGACGATCACCTTAAGTGCTCTCTTCATTGATAGTGGAATATTTGATTTTGAAGTTGAGTTTAGTGTGATCCAGCCTTTCTCTTGGGGAACGCAATTGTGTGCCGGTAACTTAAGTAATCGCTTCATTTGCACATCTCTGGTGCAGAATTTTGCAGTTCAACCCGAGTCTCTAGATGAAGTTGGAGTTATTGACGTTATCCAACTTTTCTTTAGAGGGGTTGGATATTGCGGCCAGTCTAGAAGTTGTAGCTCTTCAGCTAGAGATAGAGAGCAACTTCAGCTTTAATATTCTACTTCATGTTGGTAACGGTTCTTGTGTTTCTATAAGTGAATCGATACGCTGAGTCGAATGATAGCTTTTTCTTCCTTGTAGTTATTCACATATTCTTCGAAATTACATTGACCTGCTGAATCTATGCTGATTTGCTGTTGCTTGCAACTTTTTGTGGATCATTACAGAGTTAACATTGTTCATGTCATTCTTTCATGTCATCTGTTGCATGTGATCTCTTCCATGAATATTTCAAGAATGAATATTACAAGAATTGCCAAACGTGAAACTCTCACTTTGAAGATTTTATTTGTTAACTTCGCGTCAAATTTAGATTTTTTAAGATTTGTTTTTATAAAATAATTTAAACAGACAATGCAGGTTAGCCATCTCATTAGCGTGGAATCTGGCTTGGGTACACCACTTTTATCAAAAACACGTAGATATTCATACATGCACATACGTACAAAAAAAAACAAACAGTGATTCACTTGCAAAAAAAATTACTTAGTTCGTTGCAAGTTTTGATGTGATATAAAGAGAACGTGTTTGAAGAGTGGAGCTTTCAAATATGACAATCGCTTCAAAAACTCCGTCACAGGAGAAAACAACCAGACACACACACAAACAAACAAAAGCTTGAGCTCGATGTAGAAGCTCTGCCCCATTCATTCCATCAAAGTGGTGGATAATCATGTGCACGATGCAAAACACTCCACATACACACACTACATAGAGCACACACAAGCCCAAGCAGATTCGAGTCACAATACATCCTGGACCACTAACCATGAAAGATCATCGGAGACGGGGAAAATTTCCATTCACGGGTTGAAACTACGAAGTCAAAAGGCCTTCTTAACACTCCTACGAAGCTAATAAAATTATGTCTAGGCTGCCCCAGTTTTTCACTAGCATGTATATCGAATGTGCGAGTATTGAACGACTTGACGGCGTGACAGTGTCGGTGGCACCATGAGCAATGATGAATTCTCACGACGAGGAATGTGTGGGTGTCATTCAGAGCTCAGAGGTGTGGATTCCTCAGCCGGTGTTGTTGCTGGCGTTGCAGGCGGTGGGAGAGTGTAGATGACGATGTAGGGCAAGAGCACGGATCCTATGTAGAGTTTGCCGTCGTGCTCTTCCACTTCGCTCACCATTTTGACTACCTTGCCCTCTTGGTCCTCGAGAACCTCCTTCACGGCGCCATCAGGGCCGTAGCGTAGAATCATGCCGGATGGTTTCCCGGTCAGCAGCTTGTAGACGTATTGCACGGGGACTGGGAGGCGGATGATCAAGTATCGAATCCAAGGGTGCTTGGTCAGGAACTCCTCCGACCAGCATCGACGCGCATGCAGAGCCACCCAGAAGTCGCCCGCTTCGTTGCAGCGGACGTTGTCCGGCCATCCTGGCAAATCCGCGAAGAGCTCGTGTGTGCCTGCCTTGCTTCCCTTCAACCAGTACCGCCACAGAATTCCCGTCCGGCACTCGGCGACGACCACGAACGTGCCGTCCTTGCTGACAGCCACGCCGTTGGAGAATCGGAGGTGGTCGATGAGGACAGTGGCTTCCTTCGTAGCGAGGTTGTATTTGATAAACCGGGCGGTGTCGTCGGCTTCCATGACTGAGTGAAGGAATTGCCTCCGCTGCCAACGGGTGCTGCTGTCGGTGAAGTATAAGTTGCCTTCGTCATCGAAATCGAGGTCGTTCAAAAATTTCATTGGCACGCCCTCTATCTCGTTCAACACCACCTCGGCATGGCCGCCCTCTGGTCCTACCTTAAGGATGCCCAGGTACGCGTCTGCAATCCAAAGGTCTCCCGTCTCTTTGTGGAACCGCAATCCCAGAGGGCGTCCACACACATGCTCAAAGGCAAAGTTCGGGGCTAATGAGGTCTTGGGCGCGCACACTTCCGACCTGCGAACCCCAGAACTTCTCGTAAAAATCATTCCCGACTTCACAATTCTTGTCCGGTACCAACTTAAGCTTTTCTACGGCACCATCCTAAAGTTTAGAACGCGAGATCCTAGTGAGGAATTTTGAGGCGAACAAGCGCAAACCTGTTTTTTGACGTGTATGCGAAGGTGGTCCACCCTCGCTCCGGACCGTCATATCGCAGAATGCGACCGTCACTGACACCTGTGTAAGGTCCCCGGCCTTGTGCGTCGAACGTCAAGCTCTCTGGCCCCAGAAATTGACCTCGTCCCACGATTTCTCCATTCTGCAACTTGTTCTGATTGTCGCGTGGGAAGTCCTTAAACACATGGGCAGGAGTAGGTTCGACGTACTGCGGATTGAAATGAGAGATGCCTCGCCCCATCGAGAGCTTCATCGGGTCAGCGCTAAGAAACCATGCCACTCCCGTTGCCACAAAAAGACTCACCATCGTAAGAGGCGTCATTTCTGCCGAATCGCGAGACAGGAGCTTCACAGCCAAATGCAAAATTCCACTATTCAGCTTCAAATTCTACACAAAACTCAGCTGATAGAGCTCAGAAACACACCCAACAACGATACACAAAATCGACACCAACCAAACGGAGGTTCGAAATTTCCTATCCCTCATGGAAACACTCGCATCCGATCCGATCCGACCCGACCCGACCCAATACAACTCCACCAGAAACCCGACACAAAACATCTAACATTAAGAGGTTTTAACCTTCGGCAAGCGATGTCGTGAGGCCGACCTCTCCCTCACCCTTCTCAAAAACCAAAATCAGGTCACCACTGGATGCTGAGCAAAAGACGCAGCCATAAAATCCCGAAACGTATAGCACCGCACCAAAATCCTACAGCTCCTGCGCATGGGCCCAATCACCCAGCTGAACAATATCAAGCTCCCCCGACGCTGCATTCTGTTACCAAATGTGCTCGAAATCGATTAACTACAAAGTGGAAGAGAGAGAGCGAGAGCGAGGAATCCATAACGGCGTCACGCCTCTGCGTGGTCTTCGCACAATTGCGACCAAAGTCGCGGTTGGCTGCAGAGTCAAACCTTTTAGTCTTGTCGAGGACGACTCATCCAGCGGCCATGGATGCAAACTGGGTGTCTAGGTGAGGTCATCACAATCAACGCTGTGCAATCACTGAAACAGAACTTCGCTTTCGTCTTTCCTGACAACGAAGCCAATCAATTTCTCATGCAAAGCTCGCCCATCGCGCGTTTGCGTCACGAGGCGAAGCCATTTCCTGCCGAAACTGAAGAATATCGCAGAAACACTGGGATTCCTTTGGATTAGAATTTATATTATAAAGTGAACGTTCGCATCATATAATTTAGGTATATAACTAATGCATCATCTTAGCAATAAAAAGTTTCCAGTGTTGTACTGAACCACGGCATTTGAAAGTAGGTTACTTTTACTTGTTTTGAGAGAAGATGGTTGAAAAATCAATTGGGTACTGAGGAATTTTCTTCAAAAAGCTTTTGTTCTCAGAATCGATATTAATATTCACATGTTAGGGACAATTCTTACCTTCTTATATTGACAAAGGGGAGGGGGGTTTATTTTTTACTTCTAATTTTGTAAGAATATATGTATAAATATATGTATGAATGTATGTATGGATATATATATATATATATATATATATATATATAAATATAATGTTCAACATTTCAGAAATTATTATTATTATTATTATTAAGATCATCGTTATCATTCATCCTGATACTAAAAGTCAACTTGTTGAAATTTCCAACTCATTCACAACCTTAGATATTTTAAGTCAATTAAGTCAAAATTTTGAAAAGTCAACTCATTTACAACCTTTGAGTTTAAAGTTAATTCCTGCACAATTTTTCAAATAAAAAAATAAAATTTAAAATGTCCAATCGTAAATTTTTGCCACGGCTTTGATCTTTTGCCTTGTCAAATAATTATTAGATTCGTTTATTAATTTGTTTACTGTTTCTTTCAAACTTTCTCTTCTTCTTCTTTTTATTTTTTGAACATTGACAAGGTGTTGAAAAAAAATACTGAACAGAGGACTTTGGTATTCTCCTTTATCATAGTATTGATCCATGCAAGCGCAGAAGTAACTAAAAGAGCACTTAATAAAGTCCATGCTTTTCTAGTGACTTGAAAAAGACTTTGCCCACCAAGCCACCATTTTAGAAGTCAATGGACGTGGCTTAAGATCTCATATCACTCCACTCCATTTGTGATCTAGCAAACAATAAGGACTCTACACTTGGTTTTTTTTTTTTTTTTTTTTTTTTTTGTTAATTTCGTTTTATGGTTCAAACTATTAAAATACACTGTAGACTTGTAGTGTTGAAAATTTGAAATGTGATTGTGTTTGAGATTATTACATTCACTCTCTTTACCTGTGTGTCCTTTTGGAATATATTGTGTTGCTAAAATTGATGCAATTTGTTTTAGGAAAAAACCCAAAAATGTCAAATGAACAATGCAGTGGTAATTGGTAATACTAGTGACAGGAAATGTGGCCTGGAGGTGCATAATTTGTGCATGATTAACTTTCCCTACACAATGGCTGTCAATTCTCCATCGTGATAAGATTGTATACTTAGATTGATTGTTGAGATGCTTGTATGCTTGATTGTACAAACATACACAAACAATGTATATGCACAGCTTCAGGGTCCCAAACTAAAAACTTGAGACTACATACAGCAGCAACATCCATTTGAATACTAGATTCCATGTAACAAATAATCTGAAAAGAGCCAATTGATACCATCTGATAACTGAACTAGGCATTTGGTTGGACAAAAGCTTAAGAATAGATTTACTTTCTCCTAAAATATTGATCTATACTAATCCTTGATGTGACAGTAGTTTTCAAGGTAATGGCATACGAGAGTTACCCACGTCTTTAACTTCGATATTTGCCCAAGGGCAACTATGAACGGACATTATTAGTCATAGTAAGAATGTTGTAGAGAATGTGTAGCCTGTCTGATGGTCCTCGTTCAATATTAACAACAATATTCATGTAGTAATGAGGACTGGCAATACTACCCTATACACCCAAGATTCGGGGTGGAACAAAGTATTTCACATTGCACTGTCAGAAAGGACGTAATGAATATCAGGAGTCAGCAACTCCAGCAACGATCTGCTGTTGATCAATCCATTTTACCAGTGTCCGGACTGGGTACCCTGTTGCGGTGCCAGTTTTGCGGTTCCATACTGGTCCAGCTATGTCCAAGTGCGCCCATTCCATACCTGGATCCACAAACTACAATGCAGCCACAAAAAAACACCACCACGTGTTCAGTAGTCTTCACGATCCAGAAAGGATTATACAATTTCTAACTTGATGACCTTGAAACTTGAAAATTGACGCTGGCGATATCTTACGGATGTGACCTTTCCTCCAAAGCATATGGCTAGAATAATCAATTCTTCATTATTCAGAAAAGTAATAAACTGTTGGAAACCTTCCCCAAGAGCAACTATGATGATGCCACGTAAACAAAGAACAGGGTTCCATGGGAATCATACCTCTTTTAAGAAAAGTGCTGCCTTAATGCTACCTCCATCACGACCGCTTGTATTCACGAGGTCAGCGATGGGACTCTCGAGTGTCTGCTTATACCTACATACCCACCACGCAAGACACTCAGGTGACGACTAAGTGCAGTTCAAAAAGACTACACTGAGATCTTGATATGTTCCTAAAACGAGATGTTTACTACCAGGTGCACCAAATCGAAATCGAAAGGTCTGAAAAAGTTTTAGACAATACTGTTCAACAAGTGGCATCCGCCAGATTTTCTCTCCAGCAATCTGTGCAGCTGTTTCCAACTGCTGGGCCATAGTAGCACTAGGTGTAAAAAATCCTGTGACCGACCGCGAACCTGATGTTAGCATCACTATTGGCAGTGTCGTACAGCTGGTACAATTTACTATTTGTTTATGAAGAAGTAATTAGGAATATCCCTGGCAAGTGGAACAACAAAATCTCTTGAAAATTTTCAGAATGGATTAGAAAGCTTGGGGTAGGTTATTAAATTTCCAAAGACCCACTAAACGAGAACTTGAACTTGGAAAAATTCCGCACCGCCCACTTCATGTCCGAGAGCTACTACACATGCTCCGGTCAAGGTTGCCAGGTCCACAATCTGCATGTAGAAGTAGGTTGCTCAGAGAATACGATTAGCAAGTATGATCCAAATTGCAGAAAGTGTGAGGCTAATACGCCTACCTATTCAACAAACGATTACTTCATAGTACAGCATTTCATTGTATCAAAAAGTATTGGCTGAGTTGTCCACCAGTCGCGATGCCACGATACAGTTGTTCCCTTGATGTTATTTTCACAATAATGATTTTGCAGACAGAAGATCTCCATGAGGTGTTACTGAACATAATTAATGACGATCAACTTTCATTAGACACTGAACATACCGCATCTACACGAAGCCGACAGGCATAAACCAAGGAATCAGCAAGAGTCAACCTGCCCTCTGCATCTGTATTGTTAACCTGCGTAGACATCCCCAAAAAACTTAGAAGGATTGGACCTGCCTCACACATTCAACATTGAGGGTTAGCAAGCAGAATTCATACTTTTAAGTTTTAAAAAAGAACGTTAGATGCGTAAGCATACCTCAATTGTTATGCCGTTCATAGCTGTCACAATGTCTCCAGGCCGCATGCCCTTGCCACTGATCATGTTTTCGCATGCTGCACTGATAAAGTGAACCTGCAAGTCACACCATTTAATTCACATACACGCACCTGTCAAATCAATCCAAATGGAAGGATTACAATTCAATACTAAAGAAGTGGCAAGTTCCGGCAAATGTGCAATAAAAACTGGGTAAAGACAACAGGTCATGTTTTATCTCCAATTACAGTCAATACCTCAACTCCCTTCGGTTTAAGGGCACCTATAGCCGAGGCTGCTCCGAGAGCTGCACCTGCTCCGCCCATATCGAACTTCATAAGTTCCACAGCGCAATTAGCACCCGTCTTTATATTGTAACCTCCTGAATCAAAGCAGATACCTGCCGCACAATACAAAGGCTCATTGTTCAAACCTCAATCACGATGAAACTGACACAGCCACCAACAACTGGTTGTATGGGAATACTACCTTTACCAACAATGGCCACCCTCTTGTACACAACACCATCTGGGGGGCAGTACTTTAAGTGAATGAACTTCGGTGGTTGATCAGAACCATTCGCTACACCTAGAAATGCACCCATTCCAAGAGCCTGTAAAACCGAGATCCAGCAGTTCAATATAAAAGCAAGAGAAAAAACGCTCCCCTATTCGAATTTAAGGATTAAACTGGTATAAAAGGCCGTGTAGAAAAGAGAGCAGTCTACTAAGTTCCCAAAGTACGACTCGTATTACATGATGTATTGATAGAAAATGGACATAATTGCAGTAGAAGAATAATAACCTCGCAATCTACTTTCTCCAGAATAGTGCAGGTCAACACTTCACTGTGTGCCATAGCAATGCTCACTGCTGCATCAGCAAGGGCACCTGTAGAACTCATTTCAAATTGAAAGATTTAAAAATAGGTATGGAACATTTGACTGTCGATAAAAACTTTTCCTAAGAAAAAGACTTAACAAAGAATCTCACGAGCTATTGCAAAGAAGAATCGAAAGTGCGGCCTCATATACTCACAGTATGTTTTGTGTCAACTAGAACATTGCAACGACAAGGAATAAACTAGATATTATCATTTTCAAATTCAGACCCACTTAAGTACGTCGAGTAGCAGCGAAAATAACAGGGTTGCCCCAAATGAACTTAAGATGTGAACCTTAACAAAAGCTTTTAAGGGGAACATACTAGAGGAAATGCACAAGCACCTGGAGTCAACACATTGGCAGGAGCAGCTACCAGTTGCTTTGCAACAATAACTCCAGCGGTGATACATACTGCCCGCCGCAGTGCTTCATCTCGATCGCTTCCAGTGCCTAGTGACATCACTGCCACCTGCGTCAACTTGGATGGTTTGGCCTGCAATCATCCCCAAACACCCATAACCATCTTCAGTTCAACAATTCCGACGACAAAAACCAACTCAAACCTTACTTCAAATTTCAACCAGGGTTTTTATTTCTCGTGAAATACTCTACATGCATTTTTGCCTGAGATTCTCACGAGTCTGACAGATATAATCACATTATTACAAAAATTAGCAATAATAATGTTTCGTACTCAAGAAAAAAGCTTTTCATGAAAAATCAAAAAGGAGTCAGTGAGACACTACAGGATATCCAGGTTTTCGCTGCATTCCTCAGCGATCTTTTAGAATCGGTTCTTAATTTACACTCGTATGTCGTTGGCTTTCAGAAATTTGTGCTGTAAGAGCCCTACTTCTCCTAAATACAGATTGTTGTTATTGAGTGAAGAAACTGTTTATGATAACTCTTTATTTTAGTATCAGCAATTAATATACCTTACGTGAAGCGGCGATTGAGAGCATCTCCAGGTTAATTCTTTCTTTCTCGAATTTAGCCAACATCGAATCCATAAGACTGTACACCTGTTTGGATGAGTTGCAATACTAATTACAAGAGCGCATAAACTAACCCCTCAAAAGATGAGTTAAAAAAATCGTAACTTCATTTGTTTTACCTCAGAAATTTCTAGTGCACAATGTGTTGCAAGAGCGGATGGGAGAATACGAGCAAGTGCTGCGTTTAAAGCGAACTCTTACCTCAGACTTGAAGCGTGTATCTTCGTATGTGCCGAGAATAGCACCCGACGCAATAGATTCCACTGCCACGAGTTTCGAGGACTCATCCATGAGGTTTGTATCCATGGCTGCCAGTCCCATGCTGCACATCTGCAGTCCACTCTCACTTTGTAGATAATTCAAGTAATTCACCAGAGCATAAACAGATAACCGCGTTAATATGCAAGAAGTACTTAGAACTAGTGCCGTCTTTACTCAAACTGCCTCGACGAGGAAGAGCAAGAAAAAGAAGGGGCACTACATAAAATGTAGATTAAAGAATCACCTTGAGCTGTTTAGCAATTCGAGCTGCAGTAAAACCTAAAATACGCCATGAATCAGAAGCATACACAGCATCCATGACATTATTTGCTCGTCCCAATCCCACAAGAGCAAGCCTATCACACAAAAAGTTAACGTCTTCATGCAAAAACATTGATATCCTTTAATTTGCAAGTGTATAGAGGTAGCAAGATACAAAAGTCCACACGAAACAAAAAAATTGAGTGCTTAAGGGTAAAGTAGATTAAAAAACTACCTTTTAATCTTGCTTGAAGCTAGACGCACCACTGAAAGTTGTCCCAACTTCCCTGTGAAGTCATCTTCATCTGCCTGCATACCCATTCACATGTCTCCATTATCATTCGCAAAATCCTTCAGCTCTATTACAGAAATCTAACACAAAGATGAAACGGAGAGTGGTAAACCATTCCTGTAAAACACAAAAGCATATGAAGATTTGCAGATGGGGTCTTTGCACACAGACCAATTCTCCTAACACTCCGCCCATCACATAGTCAAGCTCGGCAAGGCCCGGATGAAGGAATTTGTTTTCTTCAGAACGAGTGAGATTTTCTTCAAAAACACCAAGTGCCAACACATCTCCCTCCCATTCATACAGAGCCCCATCATGTGCCCTTATGTCCATCTGAAGTCCTCATACAAAAGAAATTCATGATCAGCTTCATGCTTGAGACTGTAATCACACTTACCAATATAGTTTCAGATTAGACAGTAGGAGGTCTGTAAACAAGAAGAAAATATCAAAAACGGAATCATGGGCCTTTTGTGACACGTAAATAGATGGGAACATGATAGAATTCAAGGCCTTATGCGATTTCAAAGTAGATATGGATGCATGTGTTTAGCATTATCAAGTGTGAATGAAAACCTCTGCGACATCTGGGGGTGTGTGCTTGGTGAGGCCCAAAGTGTTTCCATCTGAGTGAGTCGACATCATCATATGCGCCCTGCTGTACTAAGATCTTATATTGACAGAACACACCAAAGATATATCAATTGAATAATTAGAAGGAGAACTTCGTAAATGATGAAGTATTAAGCGGAGAAATAAAGCTCATTCTAGGTTCACATGCAATTTCAAATGTACACTTTCTTTTACATGTGCTCCAGCCTAGCAACATCAAAGGACAGAAACTGCATCTTATTCTGAAGGTAATCAGAGCCTTGACACGTACAGTTTCTCCAATTGAAAGATGTGGAGTGACAAAAATCTCATAATAAAATAAAGGGATACTCCAAAAATTCTGGAAATCACTGAAAAGATAACTGAAAAGAGACATGGTGAGGTATCTCTGAGAAAATGAGAAACTTCTCACGACTAACTCGTTCATACTAATTTGATTGGTACATGTCTAATTTTATATGTTCTATTGTCTTCAGGGAAAGCACAAAGGTTCGATTGGCCACCCAGTGACAAGAACCAGGACACACAAATTCTAATGGCTTCTTTGACGTCAGCACATTACCTAAATAGATTGAAACATTGTCCACATCCACATATTGCTTGCAAATTTAAACTTGCAAACACCCCGAGTTCTAAATCACTAGCATTTCTGTGTGGACCTTCGTTTTCAAACTTAACAAGCTTGGCTAAGTGCACCTCGGTCCCAGAAAGTGTCAGGTACAATTGTCAAACTTCAAAAGTTAAGAACTACGAGAAAAGAAAACAGTTACACAGTAGTAATGACGGTCAGAACACCTCCCTCATTTTCCAGGTAAGTGCAATAAGACGTCATCTGCTAATAGAGGTACGTGGAAAATCACTCCACAATCAAAGACTCCAGTACAAAATTACAACCTAAACCATAAAATGAAAGTATGAACCATCCTTAAAATTTGTCGCAACTCTGCAGATAATGTTATTGCAATTAAAATTGGTTTGGTAACAGATACAATCAGAAAAAAAATAAACTGAGGGGTCCGAAATGCACACACCTGACTGATACCAGCGCCCTCTAATATTATTCTCCCAACAAAAGAAAATTTAAAGGTATGTAAAACAAATTAAAAAGAAGTAGCTAGCTCATAGCGTTGTTTTCATACCCAAAAATACTGAAAACATTGGGCAACTCAAAACCATGTAGAACTGATGGACCAGAACGAACATACGAACATTGCACAACACCGCGAGATATTTCGATCGGGTAACCGTCAAATCTACAGCCTCACATAGTATAAATCACTCCAACCTTGTTATCAGGTTTGTACAGGATCATCCAGCTATTGATCGAGCTATGCCCGCGAGCATGCTTGGGCCCATCTGAATAAAGATCTCAGGCCCGGAAAACATCTCGAGGATATCATGTGCCTATCTCAGTTGGAGGAGGATATTTACCATGGCGACTACATCAATCCGGGTAAGCAACTCTACACTTCCCTAACCATCCTCACAAGATGGCAATTCTCGCCGAACAACGCAAGAAAGACAAAATCACACTAGATCATTTACGCGAAGTAGCAGGTTCTTTCAGCAGAGTATCTTCTGCTACTGCTGATTTCTTCGTGACAAAATGATTGTTGAGTGACTCCAGATCAGACAGTATCCAAGCAAGTCACAATCTCATCATAATTGCACGGCTTGGATGACAAGATTAACTTATGGAAATGTCTGAGGCAGTCTGTCCTTCCACCAGGACACAGAAAGAAAATATGAGGAATTATGTCAGGTCCGCAACACTCGAGTGTGATCTCCAATACGACAAATATCACGTTTAAGATTAATACATAAACGAGCGCAGCCCACTAGCGACACAGCCTAATCTGGAAATTGCGCACAACCGTTCCAGAAAAACCAAAACCTCCCTCCCTCACTCTCTCTATCTCTCACACCTTCAAACACTCTCCACCTCCCTACCTACGACAAAAACCAGCCTCGACCTCGCATCTCCCCCCGGAATTCGTAACAAAATAAGAACTACACCAACATCCCGCCACAAGAATGAAAACTCAACTCTACTCATAAACACAAGCAATAAATTGTCACAACAAAAGAATTCGGAAAAAAAAAAGAAAAAAGAAAAAATCTCAAAACTTTAAAAAACCCATTTACAATCGGTTCTTGAAGAAAAATCAGTGGAACACGTGTGGCTGACGACAATCACCACCGAGGACATATCCATACCCGGAGAGAGCAGCAGACACCCGACGCTATCAGCCAACCCCTGCACACGCACCCTTCCCCTGCCAATTCACACAAAGAAATACACCAACACTCTCGCAATGTCTGCCACCACCACCGCGACGGAATGTTCAACTAGGGCGCGCGCCAACACTTTACAGCGAGCGAGAGATAGAGAAAGAGAAGGGGGGATTGAGATCAGTCCACCACGCCCACCACCCTCCTGCGCTTCCTCATCCCAATCGGCATCCCCCACAAGACCCCCCGCGTTGGTAAAGATCCAAAGTTACTGTTCCGACGCTCCGCCAAAGCGTTGTCAATCGCGGCACGACTCCATCACGCCCTTAATCCAGCTATCAATACAAACAAATCAGCAGCAACAGGGTATCATCGATCTATCCCATCCCATCCCTCGTGCGGCGTCGTGACCAGATCCGTCAAGATGAATGGCCCAGCCCCGCCCCGCCAAAGATTCCGCCCCCTCTCTGAAACAACCGCCGCCCCTCCCTGTAACAACCTCCGCCTCTCCGCCCTGAAGCAAGCAGGGCCCAACCCCGCTCTCCTTGACGTTCCCCGTTCCCCTACCCCCCCTTGCGAGTTCCCATTCTTTCTGTCGTTCTCCCCGTGACCAGCTGTTCCCATGCTTGTTCCCCACGCCGTCATGTGGTCGTTCCCTGCGCGTGCCCCACTTCTCCCCCGTTCTTTTCGTGTTCTCGACGGTTCCATTTGTGTGGGGGTGTGGCTTGGTGTGTGGGAACGAGGGTTTGGGAATAGTAATGAGAGACATGGAGGCTCTATTCCCGCATCAATACAAGGAGAGTGTTCTTCTCAAGCGTGATCTTGTCACCTTCATTCCTAACAATAGACCTTCACTTCCATGGCTAAACCTTATGCCTCCCCCTTATTTTACAATTTTCGACCATTTTTTGCTCTTCTTGTTGGTTCGATTCTTAACTAAAATGTTTTTGCACTTGAAAAGAGCATTCCTAGATCCATTCATTGTACATAGATTTGATTGATAAGATTTATAATGTTGGAAGACGATTAAAAAGACCTAGTCATTTTACTTAAAGATTTCTAATGTCAAATTACTATATATTTTTAAATTTAAAATAACCTTATCTATTATATAAAATAATTGAGATATAAGACAAAGAGACAAAGCAAAATTATATATATATATATATATAAATTAAATATAGTATCAAATGTATTTATAATTCTTCATTTTCTTAAAATGCAGAGAAGAAGATTTTTAATATTTTTTGTCTAAAATATTTTAGATTAAAATAAATATTGTTATTATATTTTATATAATTACAAATTTAAAAATCACCATGTGTATAAAAGTTTTTCAAGACATCTTTAAATATATTAAAGATTGTATTTCAAATATTATAAAAATATTTTTAAAATCATTTATCTGTAATATTTTTTATTATATTTTAACTAAAATATTATAAGAATATATATATTAAAAATATAAAATAATTTTTATAATTTAATAATTAATGTTCAAGACATATATTTTACTAATAAGAAACCTAATGTATACAAATTATACTACTACTCTTTTAGCTTCTCAAATTCAAGTTATTTTTTGAAAACCATCATTACATGTCAAAACCACCAATATGACACAACATGACATTATTAACTATTAGAAACCAATTATATCAATACTTCATAGAAAAATCATTAAAAGAAGCTTTAAATAATAACCAAAAAATTGTCCAAATCAACTTGGGTTCCTCCAACAGATCTCTCCAAACACATGTCAACCTATCCATGTAGCAAAACGACATGAAACAAGCCTCAAAGTGGATTTAACCCTTGCATTCCATAGAGTCAATGTTGGTCACCAATCCTTATGGGATCCGAATACGACCTGGAAGTGTGACGATATGGCCACCGAGTAGGAGACCCTCGCAACGCAACGCAATGCATTTAGGGGTTGCCTAAGCCACAGTGGGGTGGGGTGCGGGGGAGGGATTTTGCAGGACAGGGACACAGATGGTGGGGCGTCGCCGCTAGTGGCAGAAGAAGCCAAGCGGGTCGTCAGAAGGAGGAGAAGAAGAAGCACCCCCCAAAGCGGAATCGAAGTGTGCCGGCGCGTGCTCACGGCGAAGACGGCATCTTCCCAGCAGTTGACTTATATTGCAGAGAGCCGCCGACCTCAAGCTGGGTCAACACAATGTGGGCTGGTGGTATCCAGCGGTGCCAAATCTGCAAGAATGATACGCTCGCAGATATCCCTCTCTCTCACACTTTCCCTTTGCTGCGCAGCCTGATTGCTCCTGATTGCAGATGCGTCAGTGACAACCCAGCATTTCGCCACTGCAGAGCCTGACATTTGTGCACCCGTTTGTCTTCCATCATCATCCGCTGCTGCCCTGCCCATCGTCTCCTTTGTTGCTTTGGATTCTCACGTCCCGACAGAACCTTTGCTTCTTTCGTGATTTTTGGAGTTTCGTTTTAGGGTTTCGATTTAGGGTTACAGATTCACTTCGACCGCTATACACTGAACATTGTGCTCATCCTGGTCTCCTTGTTTGTTGAATTGTATACTATCAAAGGTGAATTGTTTTACTTTGTTTGTTTTGTGTCCCGTATTTAATTTTGGGACTTATTAGATGGATATCACCTTTTACTATGTAGATATCATGTTCCTTGCCACTCCCATAGACAAAATAATACTATTCTCTTTTGGAACAACATTTTTTAGAGCAATACATCAAAAAGCTTTCACAAAATGAACAAAATAAAGTGAATTTGTAAATTGCACGTACAAGAAGAAGACATGTTGGTAATGTGGTATCTATTTCTTCTTTAAGAGCATCACCACTCATTGTTGCCAATAAGGATGGCCGATGGATGGATACCGTGGAAACATGGCAACATGGCGCAATGGCCAAAACAATCATTAGCTATAAGGTGAGGTGGCTGATAGAAGCCATGTCTGCTATTTAGTGACTTCCTTGAGATCATATTCTAAACCCCTTCCTTCCAAGAAACCACCATGAGGCAAAGTGATTGACATTAACCAAGCTTGGTTTCACTTGCTTGTTGCACATTAGTTCTCCAAAGATGCCACTCCAAGTCTCAATCACAACTAGATAGAACAGTTTTTATGGCACACTACCAAAAAAACACTCTAATCCATTAGAACTGGCCTCACCGAGGTTAATGAATGGCATGCGGTGGAGCTTGTTCTAAGGCTAAGATAGCTGACATGTTTATTGGCACTACTGTTGGCAACAATGAAGGCAATGCCCTCAACATTTAATAGGATCTTCTATGTTGAAGTTAGTGGAGAATGAGAAAGTAAAGCATTGTAGAGAGAGTAGAAAAATTAGACATAATAAGCATAGATATTCATAATTAGTTGGATGAATGAGGAGAGAATATAATATTAGTTTGATATCATTGTATATATGCAACAATGCGCAGCACTTATCTTAAATTATCTTAAATTAATTTTGACATGCTTTATAAATGTTTATTTTTGGTATTTTTCTAGAAAAATGCAGTTATTTTAGAAAAACCTTGTATAAGTTTTGTCATAATGCATGGAAGATTGATTTGTGTGATGTAATTTCATGAAACTATTTTTGAAGTTTGAGCAGAAACTGTCAAGTACCATAATGTAATAAGATTGGTAGGAATCCAAGATCATTCACAAATAAATTTAGGAAATCATTCTTACCAATTCATGCTTTTTACAAAAAAATAATAAGTTCATAAAGAAATATTATGAATAAAATAATTTAGCAACTTAATTATGTATTGTGATGGATTTTGCTGAAACATGTATAAAATGTAGTGCAATCAATCAAAGAATCATTGATTACATGATGTATTGTGCTAACATTTTACATATACACACATACACATAAAAACATCATATTTTATACAGTCTTAAAAATTCTCAACCCTGAAAAAAACATCAATTTGATTTTTGGTTTTTATTGTTTATGTATTCAAAAAACATATTTGAAAGGTACTCTTAAATAAACCAAAAACTGTAAAAATAATTTCACCCTCTAATCCATGTCTTGTTTCAAACACACACTTTTATTGCCACATTGTATATTTATTTATTATTTTATGATCTCTATACACATCTTGTGTTCATTGCATAAATCAATCAATAACAGATATTTAAAATATAAACATTCAAAAAACTTTTCATATCCCACATACCCATGTGTACTTTTTTTCTTTCAGAGATTTGTTTATTCTATTTTTTTGGTTTCTTCTTCTAGTTACATTATTTCATTGCTTAAAAATTTGTAGGTAGTTTTTTTATTTCACACACACATATATATATATATATATATATATACACTCAACTATTTCTTAATCTTCTTCTTGTAATATCAATTTCCAAAATTTACAAAAAGTCAAATAATATAATCAATAATTGATAATTATTTGTCATTACAATGTGAAGAAAAGAAGAATAACTATAGGTATTCTTTGAGAAACCTTGGATTTGATGCAAGTGCCATGACTTTGGGGACATTTTGCTGAAATCCAAGATTCCTTCGTCACAAACAACAAAAGTGCTTACCAATTGGTGGTTTCTACATTGGAAATACGTCCAAATCCAAAAATGTGGGCCATTATTCAGGACCCCATCAGTGCTAGAGTATCTTCCATACTTTTACAAGGCTTTCTATCTCATCCATTTATTTTTATTTATTTTTTTGTGTTTTGTGTGTGTGTGTGTGTGTGTATATATATATATATATATATAGATATATATTCATATATAGTCACACAAATAGCATCAATGCCAAGTACCTTCTATTCATGCCACATTTGTTGCATGGTTATCCATTTGAAGTGGGAGAAGAATAACACTTAGCTTGGAATTCATGCTATAGGGTAATAATTAAGAAAAGAAGTATGATTATTTAAGCTGGATAAATTATTTATTAATCATTTAAAAAACCTACATATGTTTGTAAGGATAAAAAATTAGAAATTTTTTA